CAAGACCACCTCTATTAGTGACCTTAAAAAGTGTATTTTGTTTGAAAACGGTGGCCTTCAATTTAAAAAGTAATAATGTGGAAGTCCAAGTCAGCCTGAACGACAGGCTGGTGCATCTACTCTTTTCAGGTAAAGCCTGTGAGACTCGTGCATCTGGAAGTTGCGCAGTTTCTCTCCCTTTTTCCTTTGTAAATAATTGTATCATATCTGCATTGTTTTTGTACCCATTGTGTATTATAATACTGTCTTAATTTTATCATAGTTTTTTAAAATTTTAATTTATATTTTGTTTTGGTACTGGGGATTGAACCTCAGGTGCACTCAACCACTAAGCCACATCCTCAGCCCTATTTTGTGCTTTATTTAGAGACAGGGTCTCACTGAGTTGCTTAGTGCCTTGCTAAATTGCGTAGGCTGGCTTTGAACTCGTGATCCTCCTATCTTAGCCTCCAAAGCTATTGGTAATTTTAATTTTTAATTCTTTTTAGTTTTACATGACAGTAGAATGTATTTTGGCAGATTATACATACATAGAGTATAATTTATTCTATTTAGGTTCCTGCTCTTGTGGTTGTACATGATGTAGAGTTACCCTGGTCATGTATACAAATATAAGACTAGGAAAGTTATGCTTGATTAATCCTACTGTCTTTTCTATTTCTCTTCCTCCTCCCTTCCCTTTGTTTCCCTTTGTCTAATCCAGGGATTTCTATTATGGTCAGCTAGTTTTAGTTTCACTATAAGTATTCATTTGGTATTTACCATCAGCACTAAATATCAATGTCTCATCATTTTGGTTATGTCAAGTCATTCTGTTAGGAAAGGATCATGGGTATAACTTACGCTCTTTATATTTGAGTATAAAGTAAGTTTTGTTGGCTCTAAATTCTGGGCTTTTATTTTCTTTACATGTCTTAAATCTTGTTCTCTTTCTCTCTCTTTTTAAATTGTGGTGCTGGGGTTGGGGTTGTGACTCAGTGGTAGATTGTTCGCCTAGCATGTGCGAGGCCCTGGGTTCAATCCTCAGCGCCACATAAAAAATAAAGTAAAATAAAGATATTGTGTCTATCTATAACTTAAAAAAAAAAAAGACTTGATTTAAATTGTGATTCTGGTGATCAAATTTGGGGCGTCTCACGTGCTAGGTGTTTACTCTATCAACGGAGCTATATTCTTAGTCCTGTTTTTTTTTTTTAAATTTTTAAATTTTTATTTTTTTTTAGGTGTAGATGGACACAACACAATGCTCTTATTTTTATGTGGTGCTGAGGATCGAACCCAGGTCCCTCCCGCGCTAGGCGAGCGCTCTACTGCTGAGCCACAATCCCAGCCCCCCCACCCCCCCACCTTGTTTTTGAGACAAGGTTTTCCTAAGTTGCTATGAGTCTTGCTAAGTTGCTGATGCTGGCCTCAAACTTGTGATGGTCCTACCTCAGCCTCCTGAGTCACTCGGATTACAGGCGTGCACCATTGCATCCAGCTAGTTGACATTTCTTTAGACTCCTGTAATATTCTACAGTTTCTTAGTCTTCTTTAATATTGGCAATTTCAAATAAATGTAGATCAGTTATTGTATAAAATATTCTTCAATCTTGACAATTGTAAGTGTCTGACGGGAATAATATGTAACATCAGTCAAGTTTTGATTTTTTTTTTTTTGTGTGTGTTTTTTTCTATTTTGCAGTACTGGGGTTTGAACCCAGGACTTTGCACATCTAGGCAAGCAGTCTGCCATTGAGCTACATTCCCATTCTTTTAAAAAATATGTATATATTTAGTTGTCCATGGACCTTTATTTTATTTATTTATATGTGCTGCTGAGAATCGAACATGGTGCCTCACATATGTTAGACAAGTGCTTTATCATTGAACTACAACCTCAGTCCCATTCACATTCTTTTTAAAAATGTTGTACAGATGGGGTCTTGCTAAGTTATCCAGACTGACTTTGAAGTTATAATCCTCCTGCCTGAACTTTCCGTTATGTGGGATTAAAGGTGTGTACCATTACACTATCATGCCACAATGTTTAGTGTATTTCTTTTAGAATATCATACCTAGAGTCACATGATGTTTGCATGTTGCTCATTGAGGATGTTGATTTTCATCACTTAGTCTGGGTTTTGTCCACTGTCTCTATTATGTTTCTTCTAGAATATACCAGTATTTGGGGAGATACCTGAAGACCTTGTGCAAATACTCTATTCTTTATCAAACATTCCCTTTTAAAATTAACGTCTGTTAACAATTCTTATCTGAATCAGCATATATACTGTATTGTTTAAATGGTGATGTTTAAACTCTATTATCTTTCTGCTTATTTGTCTTTTTAAATCATGTTCCATATTAATGGATATAATTTTCTTTTTATTTATTGTTTTGCAGTGTTGGGGATTAAACTCACATCCTCTTGAATAATGGGTAGGTGTTATACTATTCAGCTACACCTCCAGCCTGCAATCAATATATATTTGAATTTTTGTCCTTGCTAGTCAAATAAGAAATAAAAATTAAATGGATGCAGTAGTGCATGCCTGTAATCCAAGTGACTCAGAAGGCTGAGGCAGGAGGATTGCAAATATGAGGCTGGACTGGGAATGTATTTCAGTGGTAAAGCTCCCTTGGGTTCAATCCTGAGTACTATAAAAAGAAAAAAATAAAATTTAATTTAATAGCTGGGCACAGTAGTGCACATCTGTAACCCCAGTGACTTTGGAGACTGAGGCAGGAGGATTTCAAGCTGAAGGCTGGTCTTAGAAACTTATTGTGGCTCTAAGCAACTTAGTGATAACTTGTCTTAAAATAAAAAATAAAAAGAACTGGGAATGTAGCTCAGTGGCGAAGTATCCCTGGGTTCAATGCACACACAGAAACAAAAAAAAAAAAAATTAAGCCAAATTGGGGGGGGGTTCAACTGTGTGTGCTGGGTATTGAACTTGTAAATGCAGCATATATTCAATACTCTTTATCAGTGAGCTACATCCCCAGCCCCTATACAACATTTTTGTTAATTAAAGTGACCTTTTTTTTTTTTTTTTAGTTTACTCAACTAATTTTGGGAACTTTTTTAAAAAAGTAAACTTTTTTTTTTTTTTTTTTTTTTTTTTTTTTTATTATTTTGGGTATTTTTTTAAAAAAGTTTTCTTTTTTTTTTTTTTTTACTGTTGGTTGTTTATACATCTTTGTGTACTTTGTGTAGAGCATTTTTAAGTTAGAGTAACGTACATATTTTTTAGATTGAAGAGTCAGACAGTGGAGTGTATTGATTGGTACTGGCATTATGAGCAACCTCTTCAAGTATGCATTTAGCACCAGGGTCACTGATGATCTGTTTTCATTCAAAGAAGTTTGCCATTACACAAATTCAAATTATATCGTGAACATGCTGTCTTTCTAGAGTTTATCTTCACTTTTGGTTTTTCCTTTTACCTCATCCATTTATCTATCGTGCGGTTGGTTTTTTGGCTGTAGGGCTGAAACTTCTCAGTTATGGGTCAGGGGAATTCTTATCTGATGTGCAGTAGGTATAATGGGAGTATATTTAAGGCCCTTACATATACTGGGAAGGATTGAGGTAAAATTGTTAGTAAATGTGACACTGAGTTTCTGTATGAATATCTTTCTGAGTATAATGTTGCAGCATTGTAGCAGATAAACTGAGGTCATAGCAGGCATAGATTGGCATGACAGAATTGACCATTGCATTGACCCGAGATGACCACAGCTCCTAGAGTTTGTATAATTATACACCCACATGGACTGAAAAGGTCTAGAGAGAAAAGTGTTCTATGGCGAAAAAATGCCATCAACCTTCCCCCACTTTAGTTGAGATTACTTGATTTTAATGCAGTATATATTGAAACCTAAGATGAAAAGCTGTTCATTAGTTCCTTGTGGTCTTTTCCCTCTAAAATCATTTACTAAACTGTTTAGCTTTTAAAATATTGTGTTAGGAGTTAATGCGAACTTTAGTTAGGAAGGACTACTTAAGGAGCCAGGCTTGGTGATGGGTTCTTGTTATCCCAGCTACTTAAGCTGGAGCAAGAAGGACTGCAAGTTGTAGGGCAGCCTCGGCAACTTAGTGAGACCCTGTTCCAGGGTAAAAAATAAAAAAAGAGCTTGGGATGTAGAGCAGCCCCGGGTTTAATCCCCCCCATACTGGGGAAAGGAAAGAAAGGTAATTTAAAAAGCAAACAATTTTGAAAGAATTTTAGATTTACTAGAAAGTTGTACTGAGATAGAATGAAGAATTTCTGTATACTCTTAATAATTTTGCTGTTGTAATAATAATGATGCCTTTATCAAAACTAAGATACCAGTTGGGTACATTATTACTGTTGAGTCATCCGTGTTCTGTTGTCAGAAAGATCACAAGGGGAAATCTTAAAATTTAGTAATTTGGTTTATGAAAACAAAGATTTTGAATGAATAAAGTAACTGGAAGAGCATCTTCTGCAGAGGCAACTAATTTTAATGTTTTAGCTTTTAATTAAAAACTTATAAAATTATGATTTTAAAAAAGGGATGACTTTAAAAATATTTTCTGTTCAGCTAAAAAATATAACCTTTTGTCTTCAGAACTGATAAAGGTATCTTTTTAGAGTTGACAGCAGAGATTTCTTTGCTTTTTTGACCCCAGAATGGTTCCAAGCCTGTGTCTAGCAGTTTGTTTCCATTGTTTGTTCTTCTTTCTCTTGTGCTGGTTCCCCCACCTCCTCAAGTGAAAGAAAACCCAAATAAGTTGCATGACCAATAAAGATGAACAAGAGCTTTAAGTCCTTTCCAGAGGAATGTGTCCTTTTCACTATTTAATTTGATGGTTTTTATCTTATGGGAATGGGTTGTATATAGTTGAGATCTAAAATTCAGAATTTTTTTGTGTTAGTTTATATTTCTATTACTAGTGGTTAGTGCTTGAGAGCTTTATCTTTTGACCCAAATTTAGCATTTAACTTACATTTTTCTTACTCAAATCTTTACCAATTGTATGTGCTTTCCAGGCAACAGCTGAACAAATGCGTCTCGCTCAAATGATCTTTGATAAGAATGATTCAGATTTTGAAGCTAAAGTTAAACAGGTATGTTTCCGGCAGAGGATATGCTGATTTTTGTAATCTGTTTTTAATTGTACTTAAAAGGATAATTTCACTAGAGGTTTTAGGTTTTTTTTTTCCTAGGCACAGGGGAACCAGGGGTACTTCACCACTACTGAGCTACATCTCCTACCTGTTTTTGTTTTTCATTTTGAGATAAAGGTCTCACTAAGTTGCCAAGGCTGACCTGGAATTTATGATCCTTCTGCTTTAGCTTCCCAAGTAGCTGGGATTATAGGCGTGTGCCACTGTGTCTTGCTTAAGTAGGCCATATCTGTGTAATTGGATTTTTTTCTTTTTACATCTTTGTTTTATTTATTTATTTTTATGTGGTGCTGAGGATCAAACCTAGGGCCTCACATGTGCTAGCAAATGCTCTGCCAATGACCCACAACCCCAGCCCCTGTGTACTGGATTTTGCACTTGTGATTCAATAATTTTATTGGCAGCCTTGGAAAGGAATGTATTAATTTTCTTAACAATAGAATCTTTTTGGGTTAATAAGTTGTGTTTACATGTAAACATTTGGGCTAGACATTTACATAACTGTGTAGAGAAAGTATATTTAACATTTGGTATGTTCTCAGGAAATTTTGTTTAATACTATGGAAGAGTTGATTGCATTTTAAAATATGGATGTGATTTCAAACTTTAGTTGGAAAAATATAAGTTAGCCAGGTGTGGTGGTGCACACCGGTAATCCCAAAGATTTGGGACTCTGAGGCAGAAGGATCACAAGTTCAAAGCCAGCCTCAGCAACTTAGTGAGGTTCTAAGCAACTTAATGAGAACCTGTCTCAAAATAGAAACATAAAAAGGCTGGGATTGTGGCTCAGTGGTAGAGACTTGCCTGGCATGTGTAAGGCCCTGGGTTCGATCCTTAGCACTACAAATAAATAAATAAATAAATGAATGAATGTCTATTGACAACTAAAAAATTATTAAAAAAAAAAAAGGCCTGGGATGTGATGTGACTCAGTGCTAAAGCACTCCTGGGTTCAATGCCTGGTAGCAAAAAAAAAAAAAAAAAAAGTGTAGGGCAATGTCTTTATTTATTTATTTTGTTTTTAGAGAGAGAATTTTTAATATTTATTTTTTAGTTTTCGGAGGACACAACATCTCTGTTCGTATATGGATCGAACCCGGGCTGCATGCACGCCAGGCGAGCGTGCTACTGCTTGAGCCACATCCCCAGCCCCAATGTCTTTATTTCGAACTTCAATGGGAGGTCTTTTTTTGGGGGGGCGGTCAGTTGGGGTGTACTGGGGATTAAACTCAGGGACACTTGACTACTGAGCCACATCCCCAGCCCTATTTTGTATTTTATTTAGAGACAGGGTCTCACTGAGTTGCTAAGTGCCTCGCTTTTGCTGAACTCTTGATCCACCTGCCTCAGCCTCCCTAGCTACTTGGATTACAGGTGTGCCCCACTGCACCCAACTGTGGGAGATTTTTTAAAATAAATTAATCTTAATCTCAAGCCATCTTTTGTTTATTTTCTTATCCCTCAAGATTCTTGAAACCAAGCTGTACCTCCCATCTCAGTGTCAGGTATTCTTGAGCAGTCCTTAGTAGTTGTATTCTGATCATTGTTCTTTGGACCTCCTGTCCCATAGTGTACTACTTTACAATGTGGATTCTTTGTTTTTACTTGTACTTGTTGACAATAAGCTAGTAGTAATTTTTTTTTTAAGGCCACAGAAACAACTTATTAAAAAGTCAATTGGTTGTTGTGGTACATTCCTTTGTAGTCTCACTACCTCAAAATGCTGAGACTGGAGAATCTCTTGAGCTTAGGGCAACATCAAACCATCCTCTCTGTCTCCAAACTCCTCCATCCGCCAATGATAGAACTCATTCTCTGGAATGAGATCTAGTATGGGAGTACTTGATATGTACTTCTACATGTTTTATTGCCTTTTATCTGAATAGCATAACAGATAAACAAAACAGAACATTGGTCCATGAGTTCACAGAGTGAAATTCTAACTTCAGTTCTATGTATTACTTATCTAATCATTGGAGAAATTTTAATGCTTACTGTGCATTTTAACAATTGCATATGGCAATGACTCTGACACAATTTTCCTGTGAACATGTAAGAATACACCATAATAAATCTCCACATCATGTACAATCACAAGTCTGGGATCATAATTAGAATAAGATGTACAAATATGTCAAAATATACTATCATGTATATCTCAAAAGAACAAATAAAATATATGTGGTAACAAACAATAACATGTGATAGACAATTTGTGATTGATAAACATTGATAAACATGAAATTAGTTGTAAGTATTCAAACATGGAGAAGCTATAGAGCATCTAGAACTTGACTAATAGGTAAAATAAGAGAAATGTGTAGGCCCAGGGGTGTATTTCAAAGAGCTGTGATTCTGAGATCAGGAGATGTGTGTTCTATAGAAGCTTTGCTATTAATTAGCTTTATGACCATAGACAAATCTCTGGAATTGGTAGGGTCAAGCTTTATGAACTTTAGCTAGTCTATATTAAAATAATTAAAGGTAATTAAAACATAATAGATAATTAAATCTCAGATTTGTTTACAGAAACTTAAAACTTGTGCTTAGTCTATGATTTTTTTCCAGTAAAAAAAATGCTAATTAGTTAGTTGATATTTCTTAGGTTATAAGTACACTGTTGAAATTACTTGAGAAATAATTTGCTAAGGAGTGTAGTTTGTGATAGTAATAGAACTCTACTTGTAAGATTTTAGGTTGTTAAAACTTAGTTTATATTTATTGTGTTTTAATTCAAGCATTGAGAGTCAGTGTATGAAATGTACCTGTGCAGAATGTTTGGACTGGCTTATCTATGAATGTTGGTTATGCACTTACATACAACCTTTTAATGTTTTTTTATTTTTTGTATTGGGGATTGAAATCAGGGGTACTCAGCCACTGAGCCATATTCCCAACCCTATTTTGTATTTTATTTAGAGACAGGGTCCCGCTAAATTGCTTAGTGCATCACTTTTGCTGAGATTGGCTTTGAACTCTCGTGATCCTCTCTCCTCAGCCTCCTGAACCACTGGGATTACAGCCACTGCTCCTGACTCTCTCAATGTTTTAGTAGTTCAGATTTGGGGAATCCAGTTGTTCTGAAACTAAGTTTGAGTAGATAGATGATATACATTTTTATGGGGCTAATTAAGAATCCTACTTCATCAGTTTGTAGGAGGGTTGATTTGTACTATGATTCTGTTAGTGAATGGATATGGGCTAGCCACAAAAAAACTAGTAAACCTGTTTTCTGATTGTAAACTCATAGGCTGCAAGAGTCCATTTTATATGAATTGATTGCATATTTCTATATTTGTAGTAGAAATATCAAGTCCCCCAGCCCCCCCCCCCCCTTTTTTTTTTGCTCCCCTAACCATTTTCTGATACTTTGAATAGCTTATGGAAGTGACTGGGAAAAATCCGGATGAATGCATAGTGGCCCTACATGATTGTAATGGAGACGTGAACAAGGCTATTAATATATTGCTGGAAGGTAATTCAGATACGGTAAGTATTATTGATTGATTTGTAATGCCGAGATTTGTATTATATTGTATCTTCATCTCATCTTGGATGGGGTAGGAGTTGAGGGAGATTATGAATGCCATGCTGTATTTGGGTACTCAACCACTGAGTCAAATCTCACCCTTTTTTACTTTTTTAATTTTTAAAATAAAAAAAAAATTAGCTGCAGATGGACACAATATCTTTATATTTATTTATTTATTTATTTTTCTGTGGTGCTGAGGATCAAACTTGGTGTCTCACGCGTGTGAGGCAATTGCTGTACCACTCAGCCATAACCCTAGCCTTTATAATTATTATTTTTTTATTTTGAGAGAAGATCTTACTAAGTTGCTTAGGTCCTTGCTAAGCTGCTGAGGCTGCTTTGAACTTGAGATTCTCCTACCTCAGCCTTCTGAGCTGCTGGGATGCGCTTGCTGGTCCTACATATGTGGTGTCTTCAATGAAGTTCTAGAATGCAAAGATGTAAAACAGAAATTATTGATCTACTCCAGCTGTACACAGCTTCCAAAATTGTTTGGGTTGTGGACATTTTCACCACCTAAAAAAACTTCTCCTGATTCCCCAGTGCTCATATTTCATCTCCAATTTCACCTCTAACTATTACTTGTATCTCTAGTTTCACAGAAAATCAGAATTTGTTCATATATCTCTTTGCTTATGTGGGAGTGTTATGTGGACATACTGACAATAGTTTTTATCACACACACGCGGACAGTAAGGAAAAAAAACAAAAATCCTTTGTGGTGTGCTGGTTATGGTGGTGCACACCTGTAATCCCAACCTTTTGGGAGGCTGAGACAGGAGGATCAGGAGTTCAAAGTCAGCTTTGGCAATGGCGAGGTGCAAAGCAACTTAGTGATACCCTATTTCTAAATAAAATATAAAATAGGTCTGGGGATGTGGCTTAGTGGTCGAGTGTCCCTGAATTCAATCCCCCCCCCCCCAAAAAAAAAAAACCTTTGTGATGATGAACCCAAGGGTGCTCTATTACTAAGCCATACCTCCAACCTAAGTTGCTCAGCCTGGCCTCAGACTTATGATTCTATCTCAGCTTCCTGTCTGAGCCTTCTGAGTTGCTGGCATTATATGCATGCACCATTGTGCCCAGTAAAGTAAAAAACAAAAACTAAAAGTTTGGCAAATGTGTAGACATACTAGTACTCATCTCTTTGGTTTTAGGAAGGATGCAAGTTAAGCCACACCCAGCTGTTGTTAGCCCTGATCTCTTGATTTCTGCGGGTAAATTGCATAGTATCTCATTTGTATTTTTAAATTGAGCAAACTGTTTAAGAGCAGATTAAAACAAATAATGTTTTACCTAAAAGCCTAAATGAGGATATAAAGATGATTGTGTAAAAACGTACCTTTCTTGAGGCTGGGGATGTTACCCCATGGCAGAGTGCTTGTCTAGCATTTGTGACGTCCTAAGTTTGATCCCTAGCACTGCTACATACACACAGAAAAAAATACCATTCTTGTCAGTGTTCAGGTTTAATCATGTTCTTTTTTTTAGGACAGGCCCTAATTGGGAGGTTGCATAAAAATGAACTACTATGAAAAACTGAAAACAGAAATGATGGTTTTTAGTTGATGTGTAACAAGCAGAATGGGATTTTTTTTAGTATAAAAATTAGCTAATTTGGGATACATATAACATAATTTGAGTGTAGAAGCATCAGGGGAGAAAATTCCAGGCTGGAGAGTACTGTTTACATAATAAACCACTAAATACATGAATTTGTTGGAAAACATCATGTTTTAAATGATAAATTCAAATTTTGAATAGTTTTTGTTCACTGACCTGTAGGGGAATGTATTTTCTAGGTTTTGTGAACTATGGGGACTATGTTTACTTTATTGCTAATGGAAGCTACTTAGAGACTTAGTTATTTTCAAAATGTACTGAAGAGCACTACTCTCCTTATATTTAAAAAAAAAAAAAAAAAAAGGAAACACTGTGAATAAACAAATACTTCCAAATCATTAACTGGAGGGGCTCTTTTCCTTTTGTGGTAGAGAGGTAATGCCCAGATAACTGTTTCTTTCTTTTGCTTTATTAGCTCCTGTAGATTTCATTCCATTTCTGTGTCAGGTGAATTTTTAGTTTTTATTTTTTTGTCAATATTGATATTAAAGATTGAATACAAGCCTTACACTTGCTAGGCAAGTGATTTACCACAGAGTTAACATCCCTAGCCTGACATTAAAATTTTTAAATGTCTAGTTCTGTCTTGTACGAAGGTTTTATGTATAGTATGTGTGCACATGCATGGTTCTAGATCAGATTCAGGGCCTTGTTGGTGCTAGGCAAATGCTTTGCCACTGAGCCAAGTCCCCATCCCTGTTGAATTGAGTTTTAACTTCCCCTTCTTATTTGGGATTGAACCCAAAGGATGTGGTTCTCAGCTATGTATGAGATAGTTCTTGGCTGTGTATCAGAAAGTAGTACTGACATGTGATTCTCCCCCAAACAAAACTTTCTTCAGCACTCTTGAACATAGACATGTTTTCTTTAAAGATCAGAAAACAGCAAATTAGGGCCTGGACATAGTCAGAAAAGAGTATTCTTGTTTGGAGTTGACTGGGCTGTGAGGAAAGCCCTTTCAAAATCCTGATTTGCTTAGGACAGTCTGTAAGGCATGTTTTCATTCCTCCTCCTTGCCTTGTTTCTCACCTGGTTGCTGTCTGCAGCTGCCACAGCTATCCAGCTGTAATGACTATTTTCCCTTGAGTGTGGTGCAGCTAATTGGAGGGGACAGTGATGTAAACACTGTAGGGTTGCTAGGACTAAGAGTGTTTCATAAGCCATGAAAGCAAACAAATCTTGTTTTATTGGTTAACCTTTTCCAAAACAAAATTTTTACTTTGAAAATGTGTTAAGTAAAATGACCATGATATTTTGAAATATAATTTTTCTCAAAGGCAAATATTGAATATGATCACAAGTAGTAAACTATCAGTCCCTTGAATTAATGTTCTTGACTGTTTCTAGTAAGATGTGCTGGTAGCTGTTGGCAAAGCTTAAGGGATTGGAAAATAATTTTGAACAATCTGATCTTGAAATCTTGTAGTTAGTAAAATGTATCCAGAAGGACATTTCATTCTCTTATAAGTTCTTCAGACACATTCTGTAAGTAGAAAAATACAGATGGCAGAAGTTCTTCTGGAAGTCTTTTATAAAATAATCTGGTTTATTGTGAAAGCCTGTAAACTATTTTTTTTTCTGTTTTTCTTTTTCCTTGATAAGTTGTTCAGAGACTTGATAAGGTGCTGAGGCTGTCCTGGAACTGGTGCTCCTCCAGCCTCAGCCTCTTCAGTTACTGGGATTACAGGTGTGCCACCACCATGCTAGGCTTCTTCTTCTTCTTATTTTAACATTTTTGTAGTTGTAGATGGAGAGAATGCCTTTATTTTATTTGTTTTATTTTTAATGGTGCTAAGGATTGAACCCAGTGCCTCACACACGCTAGGCAAGCACTATGCCACTGAGCTACGACTCTAGCCCTTATTTTTTAAAATTTTTATATTGAGGCACAGTCTTGTTAAGTTGCTGAGAGTCTCCCTAAGTTGCTGAGGCTCGCCTTGAATTTATAATCTGCTTCACCCTCACAAGTCTCTTGGATTATAGGCATATGCCAGTGTTTTTAGCTGTGTGCATGCTTTGGAAGACAGATGTGGAAAATGTGATAATTTCTTTAGCATTTACAGTGGTATTAGACAAAATGCCTCCTTTAAGATTCTATCTCTAACTCCCCCCACCAAAGGGGATTTTGTTTGTCTGTGTAGAGTTCATGAGTCAAGACTTACTTGAGGTAGGTATCTCCTTTGCTGAATAAAATGGAGTAAGATGTTTTCCTCTTTCTCAAATGAAAGCTATAAAGCTGGACCCTTTGTAATGATGGACTACTCTTTGGTCTCGCTTTGTAAAAACGTGCACCACACATACACATTATGCTAACTCTGTGTATATTTTTTCCAGAATCTCGAAAGTTTACTTTTTGTCTTGTTAACCTATGAGAACAGACTTTTTTCCTTGCACAGTTGTTTAGTTCAATTATATTAGCAAATATTGTAAACATAGTAAAAATAGTAAACTGCTTTTGTGGGCTAGGGTTATGATAGAGTGCTTGCCTAGCACCTGTGAGGCACTGGGTTTGATCCTCAGCACCATATTTAAATAAATAAATTAAAAAAAGATATTGTGTCCATCTACAACTAAAAATACTTTTAAAAAAATTTACATTTATATACAATTGAATTTTTTCCTTATAATAAATAGCTTTATTGTTTCCTCTAGTTGGAAAAGTAGTGTAGAAAGATGAAAAGATTAAGTCAAATAAAACATATACATACACAAATATGCACAGGATTCTTTTTGAACTAAAAATGTAATTCTGTTTCATGTGCTGTTTGCTGATAGCTTGCTTGTTTTTAATATTTATTTTTTAGTTTTAGGTGCACACATATATCTTTATTTCATTTATTGATGTGGTGCTGAGGATTGAACCCAGTACCTCACGCATACTAAGCGAGCACTCTATCACTGAGCCACAACCCAGCCCCAATAGCGTGCTTTACTTACATCAAGGACCTTTAACCGTGTGTATCTGTATAACTACGTACTGTTCCCTTTATGGATATACTGGATAGTCTCCTAAATTAGATGTTCTGGAACAATCCCCCCTTCTACCCGCATTCTATTGACCATCATCTATAGATGAACATCTGTATAATTATCAGTTTATTTTCTTTTGAATAAAGACCTAGAAGTACAATTACTGATTTAAAAACTATACAAGTTAAAATTTGGACATCATTGCCAGGTAGCATTAGGAATGCTAAAATAGTGGCATGCTTGCAAGAACTGTACAAGAATAGATGCTTGTTGCTGGGCGTGGTGGCACACACCTATAATCCAAGCAGCTCAGGAGGCTGAGACAGGACAATCACAACTTCAAAGCCAACCTCAGCAAAAGCAAGGTGCTAAGCAATTCAATGAGACTCTGTCTCTAAATAAAATACAAAGTAGGGCTGGGGATGTGGCTCAGTGGTCAAGTACCCCTGAGATCAATCTCTAGTACCAAAAAAAAAAAGAAAAAAGAGAGTATATGATTGTTCCACCTTTGCTTTTAAGGTGCCACCATCTTCTTTTTTTTTGTATGGGGGATTGGACCAGGTATGCTTAATCACTGGCTGCACACCGAGCCCTTTTTTATTTTTAATTGTGAGAGATGGTCCCACTAAGTTGCTTATGGCCTTGCTAAGTTGTTGAAGCTGGCTTTGAACTTGGAATCCTCATGCCGCAACCTCCCAAACTCCTAGTATTTTACAGGCATGTGCTACTATGCCTGGCTTAAATGCCTGTACCTTTAATCTTTATTAAAGCTTAGAGGTAGAAAATTACTTGTTTAAATTGTTTGTTTATTTTTTACATCCAATTATATTTCATAATATTAAATTATTTTATAATATAAATAGAAGTATGTAAAAGACCAAAATTTTTATTTAAAAAAAAAGTATTTTGAAGTAGGCTTTTAGTATTTTGGAAATAACTCGGCCTATCAGATGACTTTTCGTTTTCTAGTTCTAATATAATATTAGTAAGTTGTTTCCCCCCCTTAAGATTAAAAAAAATTTTTTTTTAGCTGTAGTTGGACACAATACCTTTATTTTATTTATTTATTTTTATGTGGTGTTAAGGAATGAACCCAGCACCTTGCATGTGCTAGGTGAGTGCTCTACTGATGAGCCACAAACCCAGCTCTCTTAAGATTTTTAAAAGATTGAAATAATTATTACTCTTATTTTGGGTTTGAATTACTTCAAATTCTTTGTGAAATAAACTAGATTATGAAAACGCAAGTAGAAACTAATGGGCCAACATTGGGATTTTCTTTCAACACTGCTTGATACTCTTTTGTTCATGAATGTCATATCTCATTCTTAGCAATTTGTTTATGTATATGTGTGTGTATTATCATTAGGGGAGTGTAAATGTATTGAAAGAAGTGGTTATATAAGTTGTTTGATTCCTCATTAGAACAATTCCTTGAGGTTGAATTTTGGATGCTATGTAAAAAAAAGAAATCCACACCAAAACCAACCCAAATTTTAATGTAGTATTAATTTTTTTTAGATGATTTCTTTGGATAATTGCAATGATTTATTCTTGGAATTTCTAAGTAACTTTTTAGTCTTTGAATTAATCTATGTATTAGTATGGTTAAGGCATACTCCTCAGGTAAGTAAGAGCTTGGGGAAATAACATTTATTGTATTTCTATGCTAGCTGAGGAAAGGACTCTGAGGTGGGAAAACATAGTATGTTGTCATATCAGTTAATATCTATAGGGGCTGGGGATGTGGCTCAAGCGGTAGCGCACTCGCCTGGCATGCGTGCGGCCCGGGTTCGATCCTCAGCACCACATACAAAGCTGTTGTGTCCACCGAAAACTAAAAAATAAATATTAAAAAAATTCTCTCTCTCTCTCAAAAAAAATAATAATACCTATAAATATTTGTTCACTGTATAGCAACAGAGTTTAGCAAGACATTTATTGTCTTTCTTATCAGGAAGGTAGAACCATATGGAAAATAATGAAATGATATGCAAATGACTGGAAGTTGTGGATAGTTAGGTTTGAAAGATTCATCCATGCACCCTGGATAATTGTGCACACTTTTAATGACAACTTTTAATAAGAACTCTTCTTTTTGGTAGACTTCATGGGAGACTGTAGGGGGTAAGAAAAAGAATTTTGGTAAGGAAAGTTCAGAAAACAGAGAGAAGAAAATTGAAAGAGATGCAAGTCGTGGACGGGTAAACAACATACGAAAAGGAAGAGGTGGCAATCGTGGCAGAGAGTACTGTAAGTACTGAATCTTTTCTCTCCTCCTTTTTCAGAATTTCCATATATTCTGAAAAGCTGAAACAATAGTCCAAAGAATGGTCATAAATCTACTTTCTCAATGCAAAATTTCATCTAATAATTAATATTAGTAATGAGCTGCATCAGAACCTGTGAAGCAGTTTCCTGTCAGCACTAATGTGGGCTGTAGGTAGTTAATTGTACCTTGTACCTTAAGACTGTCACGGATAAAGGGCATTCTCTAAAAACATGTTGGAGGGATTGGGGTTGTGGCTCAGTGGCAGAGCATTTGCCCAGTATTTGTGAAGCTCTGGGTTCAATCCTTAGCACCACATACAAAAAAAAATAAGCAAATAAAATAAAGACATGTTGTCCATCTACAACTACAAAAAAAAAAAAAGTTGGAGGTGTTGATTCACTGATATATGAAGCTGTTTTTTCTTCCCATTTACAGATAGGCAAGGGTTAGATCAGGAGGTAAGTTGAATAGGTAGAATTTTCTTTCTTTCTTTTTTTTTTTTTTAGGCTTTACTATTCATTCAGTGGTACACATTATTCTTTTATATTTTTTTAATATTTACTTTTTAGTTTTCGGTGGACACAACATCTTTGTACGTGGTGCTGAGGATCGAACCCGGGCCGCACGCATGCCAGGCGAGCGCGCTACCGCTTGAGCCACATCCCCAGCCCCTACACATTATTCTTACTATGATACAATTAAAGATTTTCTTAATACTTTCCATTAGACCCAGATTTTGGCATCAGTTATCCTAAACAGCCCTTGAGATTTTGCTTGCTTATTTATTCCACTTATATTTACTAAGTAATAGATAATCTTATAGCCATATACCAATGCGTAAAACATTTAAAAAGTTTGCATTACTAATATTTATACTTTAATAGGGCTGGGGATATTGCTCAGTTGCAGAGCGCTTACCTAGCATGTGTGAGGCACTGGGTTCAATTCTTAGCACCACATATAAGTAAATAAAACAAACATTGATAACTAAACAATATTTTAAAAAATGTTAATGAAGGTAGTGTGACATGTAGCAATTATAAGTAAAATATTTTATATAACATTTTGACAGATACTAAGATTGAACCTATTGCCTTGTGCATGCAAGCTTGCAGTCTACCACTGAGGTACATCCCTAGGTCTTATACAGTATTTTAGTAGTGTTATGTAGCAACTATTCTGTTGGAAAAACAAAGGTAGAAAGAGAGGTGAAGATTATGAGGAAGTTTATGGCAAACGTAAATGTATTGAAAGGAAGGCCTCACTGAGACCTTATGTGATTATGTCCTGAATAGAAGTGAGGGGAACAGGGGATGCTAGTATCTCTTATCAAAATTTCTGTATTATACATAATTTTTAATGACAATATAGATGAGGAAAAAGGGAGACTATATGTTGACACAATCTGGATATTTCAAGTTTCCCAAGGACACAGTGTTTCTCTAGTATTGCTATTTTGCTGTTTTGTGCCTTTCCAGACATTGAGCTTAACTAATGAGCAAATTCTTTGTTATATTACATAGTTGTATAATGAAAGTGGCTAATTGAAGCAAACTTAATTTAGACTTTTTTTCATTTAGTCCTTGCTTTAATAGGTGTCTTGGTAAGGTTATATACAAAAGGTTTGAAACAAAACATAGATTTTTCTGTTTTTTTTTCTCTACTTAGTTAGAGGTGAAGAGAATGGGATTGATTCTAATCAAGGGGACAAACCTTCAGACCGTGGCAAAAGAGCCCGTAATAAAGGTAAGTCTGAATGAGTGTTAAGGAAATGGTTAGCGATGGGAGGAAGAAGGCAGTCTTCATTTGGCTCTGAGTAGGGATGACTGTGTACTCTGAAAGAATGTTTGGTCTTCTAAAATATTAAGATGCATTTACTGATGCCTGTGAATGAATTGCTTGGCTTATGTAGTTTTGGGAAACTTATTGATTACTTTCAGATGAACTAAAAAACTTATGAATAATTTAAAACTAGAAATTCCGACAAAAAGTCATTTGGATTATTATTTTTTTAATAGTCATGTTAGATTTTAATACATGTGTCTTACCTAGGTGATACTGTGTAAAAATTTTTATGTCTATTCACTATTTGATTTAATCAAGGTAATTAATATTTCACGACGGCACATAAAATTTTTTTTGTGGTCATGCATTTGAAACATACTCTTAATTATTTTGGTATATATAATACATTATTATTGATTAAAGCCACACTATTGTTCAATAGATCTTCAAATTTATTCTTCCTGTGTAGCTGAAACTTTGAGTACGAACTCCTTCTACCCCAACCTTCAGTAACCATCATTTTACTCTCTATTTTTATTAATTCAACATTATCTATCTATTTATTTATTTATATTTTTGGATTTGCGGATTGAACCCAGGGCTTAAGGCATGCTAGGTAAGCACTCTACCACTGAGGTACATCCTGAGGCCTTTTAATTTTTTGATACTGGGGATTGAAACCAGGAGTGCTAAATAGTCAGCCACATTCCCAGGCCCTTCTAATTTTTATTTTGAGATAGGGTTTTGCCAAGTTTCCCAGAGTGACTTTGAACTTGCAGTCATCCTGCCTCAACCTCCCTAGTAGCTGGGAATATAGGCACCACCTTGCCTGGCACCTGTCATGGGTTTTGAATTTTTTTGTTTTTGAGTTTTAGGTGTCCATATATGTATAAATAACATTCATAAAGTTCCAGATGTTTTTTGTTGTTATTGTTGGCTATGTGTTTGGTGTCACATCCAAGAAATTATTGCTAAAATCAATATTATGGTCTGTTTGATCTGTTTTCCAACAAGAGTTTTGTAGTTTTAGCTTTTAATTATGGGTCTTTCCTCCTGTCTTGTGTGCTGCCATTATTCTCATTAGTCATTGTCCCATTACTAGAAACAATGTTTAGTAACACTGTGAGATTACTTTGTAGGTTCCTTTTTCTGATTTTCATTTCATTTTTTAGTGAAATTTAGTAGTGGTTTATGATGTCATGTTGTATTGTGCTAGTTTTTGGGTTTGTGTGTTTCTAGGGATTGTACCTAGCTAAATTGCTGAGGGTGGCCTCAAGCTTATGATCCCCCACCCTGCCTCAGCCTCCTGAGTCACTTGGATTATAAGTGTGCGCCATCACGCCTGGTTCACTCCATAGCTTTAAAAAAATGCAAACCATTTTATAATATAACCTATGTTCAGCCATCACGTTTTACAGATATTACACATTCATAACTAAATTTTCTCTTACTTTTGAACTTCCTAACTTGGGTGGGTAATTGTTTCAACAAGGAACCAGCACATTAAAGTCATGGGTGGGAATGTTAGGGCTAGTAGAAACAACAATGATACTGTGTATGTGGTGAATATAGGATGAAGTTGATGAAGACATAATTAGTAAAACATATTTTTGTTTGATTGTAAGGATTTGGACGTGGCAGAGGGAGAGGAATGGGAAGATTCTCAGCCCAAAGCATGGGGTAAGTCACCTTCAACCTATTTTTGTAATTATTTTCTTCCTTTGCTGTTACAGTAGTTTCCCTTCCTGTTTGTTGTCCCCAGAGTTTTATATAACAAGTAAAATAGTTCAAATGAAATAATGTTTCAAGGGAAAAAAAAGGAAATTAATGTTTCAATGGGCATTAGAGCAGGGTTTCTAGCCTTGACACTATTGACATTTTCAATTTAAAAATAATTTATTGAGGTAGTGGGATGTTCTGAAAATTGCAGGATGTTTCGCATTCTTCTTCTTTTTTCCTTATTTGATGCCAGTAGCATGCCTTCTGAAGTGTGACAGTGAGAATGTACACATTGCTAGATGTTCCTGGCATGTGTGTCTGTGCGTGTACATAATCTGCCCTGGTTTGGAACCACTGCATAGGAGTTGGTAAATCGAACACTTCTCCTTCATTGATAAGTACATGTAATGATTACTCATAACCAAGTGGCATTTTTGTCCTAAATTATGATAGTAAAGAAAAATGTACTAAATAGGTGTAGTTTATGATTGTGTCATTGTGTTTGGGTTTTCTTTCTTTTTTTGGTACTGGGGGTTGAATCCTGGTGACTTTTACTACTAAGTTACATCCCCAGCCGTTTTTATTTTCCTTTTTTGAGCCAGGGTTTCACTAAGTTGCTTAGGGCATCCCTAAGTTGTTGAGGCTGGCCTGGAACTGTAGTCCTCCTGTTTCAGCCTCCTAAGTCACTGGGATTACAGGTGTGGGCCATTGTGTCCAACAGTGTTTGGGTTTTCTTTTTCATCATTTTGCCTTAAAAACCTTAGTTTACACTGGATTTTTAAAATATTTTTAAAAAATTGTAGATGGACACAGACCTTTATTTATTTTTACATGGTGCTGAGGATTGAACCCAGTGCCTCACACATGGCAGACAAGCATTCTACCTCTGAGTCACAACTTCAGTCTCTACTGGATACTTTTTTAAAAATTGTATTAAAAAATCTTAGGGTGGACTGATGGTGCAGCTCAGTGGTCGAACACTTGTCTAGCATGTGCTGGGTTTGATCATCAGCACTGCCAAATAAAATAAAACAGAAACTTAGGTTAAGCTGGGTACTGTGGTACACTGTAATCCCAGTGATTTTTTGGAAGCTGAGTAGGCAAGGATATAGCAAATTAGTCAGGGCAAATTAATAAGACCCTCTCTCCAAATAAAAAAAAAAAAAATAAAGAGCACTGGGAATGTAGCTCAGTGATAAAGTACCCCTGGGTTCAATCTCCAGTACTGCAAGAAAAAAACAAAAACAAAACAAAATTTTAGGGTAGCCTTATGGTGAAACTCAGGAAGGAAGGGAGTAGTTCCAGGAAAAGCCCTTTGTCTCTCCACGGCTTTCAGGTGGTACTCTTGGTCAGTTCCTTCTCAAGTTGTTGGTACCTCCTGTCATCCTGTTTTCTGCCTGAGGAAATTAAGGAAAAAAAGGAGGGATGAAAATACATGTTTAAAACTGGCAAGAGGGGATGGGGATGTGGCTCAAGCGGTAGCGCGCTCGCCTGGCATGCGTGCGGCCCGGGTTCGATCCTCAGCACCACATACAAATAAAGATGTTGTGTCCGCCGAAAACTAAAAAAAAAAAATAAATATTAAAACAAACAAACAAACAAAAACTGGCAAGAATGTTAAAATATCCAAGTATATCCCATTACCTTTAAATTATTTTGTGGATTTTTCTGTTTACTTGTTTTTTGAAAATTTTTAAATTAGTTTTTATTTTGACCTTTGCTTACCTTATGGGGTTGTTCAGTAGAATTTTAATGAATGTATCAGGGATGTTGAACAAAACCTTTTCTTGTCTATATTCATTGGTACTATAAAAGAGGACATAATTTTGTTGTAAAAGATTCATAATTGAGGGGAATGGAGGGAGGGAGGGAAGGAAATAGTACTGGGGATTGAAATGGAGAAATCTTATGCATTTCTGAATATGTTAAAAGGAACCATGTATAACTGTATATATATATCATGTATAACTGTCGTGCACTAAAAAGTAAAAAATAAATATACCATAAAAAGAAAAAAAATTACTCCCCCACCCAAAAAAAAAATAAGATTCATAACTGGGCCTGGGGCTGTAGCTCAGTGGCAGAGCATTTGCCTACCATGTGTAGGCAATAGGTTCTATCCACAGAACCACATTAAAAAAATGTGAATAAAATAGAAGTATTAAAAAAAAGAAGAAAAGACTTGTTATGTATTAGTTTTCTTTGGGACTTCCTATTAATTCCTTTATTTTGACTTTAAACATTCCTAGGTCTCTTGTTTGACTATTAACCGATTCTGTTTGGCTTCCAAGATCACAGGAGATTGGGCATATTCAGGGTGGTATGACCGTAGACATGTTTCCGATCTCTATGGCTACTTTAAATTGCAGAGACCATGTTGTAGAAAAATAGGGCCATGTTGCAAGGCTATATGGAAGATCCCTACCTTTTTAGAAGATCTGCATCATGGAGGCTAGATGAATTCACTGCAATTAAATAGTAGAAGGAGGGAGAAGATTTTAAAGTGGCTGCAAGGAGGAACTGGGCTTATTTTATGAGAAGATTGTGTACAGTTAATTTTGTGGCTTTGATGCTTGCTTCATTTGCCTTTATTTTTACTTATTTTAAACTCCAGGACATTTAATCCTGCAGACTATTCAGATTCTACATCTACAGATGGGTGTGGGACAAAACTAGTAGTTTGGGAAGCTACTCAGAATGGTGCAGAAGAGGGACCTGGTAAGTGTTCTGTTTTTGTTAGAGATGGGTTTTAAATGTTTGGGAGTTTTATATTGTCCTACAAAGGTAAAGCCCAAGTGTGCTAATGGAGACTAAACTGAGAATGATCTTAGTTGGTTCTTACCCCAGAGTCTCTCACTTATAAATCTCCTTGATAAGTTTGATTTTCCCCCCCCTTTCTGAACTCTGAGAAAGAGGCAGTATAAGGAAATCTGTATAAATCAATATCTAGCCATACTTAATTTCAGAATGTGTAGCATACATATACAGTTTCATTGCCAAAGACTTTTTACTGGAATGGCAATATTTAAACACTGTTAATGGTGTATACTAAAATTTGGTGAGATAGTTGGGCACACTTCTACATGCTTGTCATCTAACTATTTGGCGTTTGAGGTAGGAGGATCGCAAGTTTGAGGTCAGAACTAAGCAATGTAGTGAGACTCTGTCTGAAAATGGAAAATAAAAATAAAAAGGCTAGAGATGTAGATTAGTGGTAAAACCACTACTGCATTTGATCCCTATTACTGTAGACAAAAAGAATTAATTAAATTTTTTTTTTTTAATTGGCCAGATAAAGAGATGGGTTTAGGGCAATATTCTTTTTGAAGGTTTTTCTGTATCTTTGCTATTAGCAGATTGTTTCTGAAATTTATGGGCAAATGTTTACATAGAGCTCTTCAGAAGATTTATTGGTAATAATATACACAACTGAGATTATATTAGTAAAAACATAAATTAATATTAACTGAATGAAATATGACCCCAAACATAGGAAGTTATCAAAAGACAAAACATCTATAACATGAACCCTGTGTAAAAAATGGCTCACACCTTTAATTCCATTCAACTTGGAAGGCTGAGACAAATTTTTGGTCAGCCTGGGAAGCTTAGTGAGACACTATCTTAAAATTAAAAATAAAGGGCTGGGGATGTAGCTCAATGTTAAAGTGTCCCTGACTTCAATCTCCAGTAAGACTGGGTATGGTCAGAATGCTAATTTATAAATTTGGTAAAAAAATAGTATCTGCCAAACAGATTGAAAAGTTCAAGTGGGAAGGGAGCTTGGTTAACATGGAGAATGAAAACAATGAAAGGTTATGTAATTTGAATGTTCAGGAGTCATCAGTCTTAAGCTTCATTGCTTGAGTCACAGTATCTTTTCACAGTATGGATTGTAGTAAGTTTACTTCTCCTTGGACAGTTAATGCAACGTTTACATATAGGTGCCCCCCATCTTATTGGGTAGGTATGTTCCAAGGTACCTAAAACTGCAGATAGTATCCTTTTGTGTGTGAATATGCACACATACTATGTATTTTTTCCTATACACATATACTTATGATGTCATTTAATTAACAAATGATCCACTGTTAAGAGGTTTACAATAATAGCCTCATAATAGAACAATTAAAACTATACTGGGGGCTGGGGCTGTAGCTCAGTGGTGCCTGCCTTGCATGTGTGAGGTACTGAGTTCAATCCTCAGCACCACATAAAAGTAAACAAATAAATAAATAAATAAGCATATTGTGTCCATCTACAACTTAAAAAAAATTACAGGATTTTTTTTTTTAAAGTTATGAGAATATACTTGGTCTTTCTGGAACTTACCATTTAATATTTGTGGATTTTGTAGGGCTATAGAAATTGAAAACACAGATGAAGGGGTGGGATTGTGGCTCAGAGGTAGAGCGCTCACCTAGCATGCATGAGGCACTGGGTTCGATTCTCAGCACCACATAAATATAAAATAAAAACATTGTGGCCACATATAACTAAAAAATAAAAATAAATATTAAAAGAAAAAGAAAAAAGAAAACACAGATGAAGCAGGACTACCTGTACTTAGCTTTGACTCTGTGTTTCAAGTGCTGACCATTTTCTTTCAAGGGTACTTACATTGTCTTGATATTTAAAAATTTTAATATTATATTGATCTAACAACCTGGCATCAAATGCTCACAACACAGCTTAGGATTTACCAAAAAAAGTTATTTTGGTTTGGTAACAGTGATGCAAACACTAACTAAAACATTTTGTCTTCTTTTTTCTTTCTAAACTTTAACTTGTAAAAACATTATTGTATGAAGGTGTATGTGGGTTTACATTGATATAATAAAAATACCTTTGGGGGTTGGGGTTGTGGCTTAGTGGTAGAGCACTTGCCTTGCATGTGTGAGGCACTGGATTTGATTCTCAGCACCACATATAAATAAATGAATAAAACAAAAGTCCGTCAGCAACTTAAAATTAAAAAAAAAAAGTATAAAAAATACCTTTGGGGGGAAAACGGGTTTTTTTTTTTACTTAAATATATGAATGTTTTATTTAAAAAGTTTGTAGTTAGGGCCACATGCCGAAGTACACATGTTATTCCCAGAGGCTCAAGAGGCTGAGACAGGAAGATTGAAGATTTGAGGTCAGTCTTACCCTAAGCAATTTAGTGAGATCCTTTCTTTCTTTTATTTTTTTTTTTTTTGGTAGTAGGGTTAGAACCCAAGGACACTTAACCACTGCCCCACATTTCTGGCTCTTTTTATCTATTTTTAAAAATTTTGAGATAGGGTGTTGCTAAATTGCTTTAGGGCCTTACTAAATTGTTGAGGCTAGCTTCTTGAACTTGTGATTCTCCTGCCTCAGTTTCCTGAGTTCCTGGGATTACAAGCAGGCACCACTGTGCCTGGCAAGTCCGTGTCTTAAAATAAAAAATAGAACTGGAATGTAGCTCAGTTGTAAAGCCCTTTGGTCTTAGTCCCCAGTACAAAAAAAAAATTTTTTTTAAACAGAGTTAGATATATGGCTGGGAGATGTAGCTCAGTGGTTGGTATGTATATACAAGGTCATTTATAAAATGATTATAATATTTTCTGTTTTTATAAATGATAGCTAAAAAATTATTTTTTTTTAATATTTTCACATCCATTTGACAAGATTTTGAAAAAGTTTTATAGATTGGAATTCAAGGTGCTACAGAATATTTGTTGTTTTTCTTTTTCCTATGTGGCTTTTTAGGTTGCATCATTAGAGGACTAACATCAAGTTAAGTTGAACATAAATCATTCATCTGAAATTTATTTATTTTGGTACTGGGGATTGAACCCATGTCCTGGCATATGCTAGGCAAGTACTGCATCGTTGAGCTGTATCCCCAGTACTCAGCCTCCCATAGTGGGGAATGAAACCAGGGTCACTTTACTACTGAGCCAAAGCCCCAGCCCTTGTTGTTATGAACTAGATTTTGCGTAGTTGCCTATGCTGGCCAGCTGTACTGGTTCCTATTAGGAGCAGTTGCTAATAGTTTTTTTTTTTAATAGCCATCTTCTTTCTACCTTTAAGAAAATACCTTTATTCAGAGAGATTCATATTTTACTTATGTCACTTCTGGAGAAATCATGATGAGACAACACAAAGGATCAGATTAATTAATTAATTAATTCAATTATTGAATTGAATTTTTTTTAAAAAAATTATTTATTTATTTATGTATCTTTAGTTTTAGGTGGATACATTAGTTTGTTTTTATGTGGTGCGGAGGATCGAACCCAGTGCCTCATGCATGCTAGGCCATCACTCTACCACTGAGCCACCATCCCAGCCCCTTGAATTGAATTTTATTAACAATTCACAGACACAGCCGTCAAGAGATACTGAAGAAGTAGGCAGGAGGTATTTGGGATCCATGGTTTTCATTCTGGGCATACATGTCCTGTGGTTCAGAGTAATAGCTGAGTTTTGTAAGCAACATATATAGGTTTCTCCACAACCAGAAATATTTTCAATTTTGAATTATCTACATTTTTTCATCCATAGAGTAGCATAGTATTTATGACAATTTAGAGGAACCTGTGCTGTTTGAATCCATGTATTTTGTGACTGTTTGCCATAACTGATCCTAAGTTTAGGATATTCTATTAAAAATGTTCCATCAATAAGGATTCTTCCTCAGAAACACGAAGAAGTTGGATGTTAGATTATTAACACGATGTCAAGGGAGTTAGATTTGGTTACCTCTGTTCCTTTTTTTTTTTTTTTTTTAAAGCAGAAGTGTTTCCCTACTTTTTTTTTTTTTTTACACACAAACTTGAAGCAAAATAGGATTTTGCATGTCAGATGCTTAATTCCTTTCTTCCCATGAAGGAACTGAAAACATCCACAGTCCCTTTTTCTAGAAGTGGTTATGGTTAATGCTTTGATTCCTTACTATTTAAAAGTAATTTCTATAGTTAATGTGTTTACATGCATGCTTTGAAATGTAGGGGAATAAATGCTGTACTTACATAAGTTAGCATTTTTGTATAGCAACATTTTTTCTTCAAAGCACTTATAAATGCTGTATGTATAATATTCTGTGAGAACTGTTTGAACACATACTTTCTACCTGTTCCAGCTCCTCTGGACTTATTATGGTAGCAGACCTGATCAGAGCAGCAGAATTGTTAATTTTTGGGGGGATCTGTGAGGAAACCATGCATTGGATCTAATATTTTTTATTAAAAGGTCGCATCTCTAGATTTGGTAATTCTGTAATTCATGTGAATTAGGGTCTTGGGCAAATCTGCCTTAAAAATGAATATTGTTTCTACTTTAAGGCATTCTATAAGAGATTAGTTAAATGTTAAATGCATTTTTTTAAAATGCTGTTTCATGTTTTCTTTCTTTTTCTTTTTTTTGATAGTTTCCAGCTTGTATTTCCTTAATCATGGTAGGATTGCTTGGGTATTACTTAATTGAGGTGGAATAATCAATTTGAGACATATATTTAATTTTATGTATGTAACGCTAAGTTGCATTTGAAAACATTCCTGATTTTATTGAGAATAGATTAAGAATGTCATATTTCTTGAGTTATAATCTGATTGCTAAAAGGGGTATATGATTTTTTTTTTTTTCTTGCATGGTACATGAAAAAGAATCAGTAGGATTAAGGATGATATTTGACTTTGAGCTGTATTCTTTGGTTTTCATTTCCCAACAGATGCCTGGAAGAATTCTGTGGAGGAGTGGCCAACAGAGGACTGGAATGAAGATGTAAGTGTTTGGTGTCAGATCAGACCCATCTTTTGGTGTTTGGTGTGGGCACCTGTGCTTGGGGGAAAACTGGATCCTTTATTTCATCTTGGCTTCTTTTACTAGCTGTATTCTTAGAGCTACCTGTCTTTTTAAGCATATGATTCTTAGAAGGCAGTTGGTTGGTTCAGGTTTGCAAGGATCATGTGATTTTATGCATATGTCTGCTAAAAAGTGACCATATGTTAAATAGAAATGAAATCATTTTTAAAGTGTTTTCTGTTTTATTTATATTGATAGCCAACTGACTGTAGCCTAAATTTGTGGAGTAATCCTTATTCTTTAAAGTGTTTTTGTGAAAGGAGAGAGTCTTATGTTTTGGCTCATGGTTTAAACTAACCTGGGTAAGTTGTTCTGATTCCCCACTTAACCCCCATTTTTTGGATACATAAACTCCCACGCCACCCCCAGCACTGGGAATGGAATTCAAGGCTTCATCCATGCTAGGAGTACTTGGGAAAGAAGCAGCATCATTTCTACCTGACTTTTTTTGTTGTTGTTGTTGGTACCAAGGTTTGAGCCCAGGGCACTTTACCACTGAGCACATTCCCTGCCCTTTTTATATTTCTGTTTTTTATTTTGAGACATTGTTTTGCCAAGTTGCTTAGGGCCTCACTAAGTTGTTGAGGCTGGCTTTGAAAATATTTGATCCTCCTCAGCCTCACCAGTCACTAGGATTATAGGTGTATGCCACCGTGTCCGGATTTACCTGAGTTGTTTAATGACATTAGGCAGGGCAATTTTCCCCGATTCTTTGTTTTTAATTTTTTTTTTTTTTTTTTTTATTTGTGAAGAGAGGAATGAGCATTCCTTTACATACAGCATCATTTGGCTTCCAGGCACTGTTTTAGAAACCCCATAGTGCCCACCCTAGCTATTTGGGAGACTGAGGCAGGAAGATCACAAGTTCAAAGCCAGCCTTAGCAACTTAGTGAGCCCTAGTCTCAAAATGCAAACTAAAGAAGGCTAGGAATATAGAAGTGTCCCTGAGTTTAATGTCTAGTACTAGTGGTGGTGGTAATAGGGAGACCAAAATAAACACTCTAGTGGGCTGAGATGTGGCTCAGTGGTAGAACGTTTGCCTTGTTCACACAAGGTACTGGCTTTCATCCCCAGTACTGCCAAAAAAAAGCCTTTAAAAATAGATGAAAACATTGTAATATAGATTCATGTTTACCTTGCAAAAATTAAGGACTTTTGGAGGGGATGGACATAATGATCAGTGGTAGAGTATCCTGTGTGAGGATCTGGGTTCAATCACCAGCATCATCAAAAATAAAAATATATGGGGCTGGGGATATGGCTCAAGTAGTAGCACGCTCACCTGGCATGTGTGAAGCACTGGGTTTGATCCTCAGCACCACATAAAAATAAAATAAAAACTAAAAAAAAACCTTAAAAAATAAAAATATAAAGGACTTTTTTTTTTTTTTTAATAAACGAATTCTGGCTGTGTTGCCTATGCTGTCCTTAAATGCCTAGGCTCAAGGGATCCTCTGCCTCTTCCTCCCAAGTAGTTGAGACTGACTGTTGGGCATGCCACTTCACACTGTCAAATAATAACAAAGCATTCCCCTTCCCCGCATGGCACTGGTGATCAAACCCAGGGCCTAGAGCATGCTAGGCAGGCACTCTACTACTGAGCTATATACCTCCAGCCCAGAAATGTTACTTTTAGTGAATTCAATTACAAGTGTTTCTACAAAACTTAGCCAGATTTAGTAGTAATTTTAAAAACATAATAAGTGCTAACAGGGAAGGTGCTGTAAGAGTGAGAGAGTAGGGATGCTCATTTGATTGGAAATTTAGGAAATTTAGGGTATATTTTTATTCTTCTATATACTAACCATACTTCCTTGTGGTATGATGTTATCTACTCCTGGCTGTCCTAGATTTTGGATCATACAGATATAAAATATCTGTAATAGTGAGGGGCTAGACTAGATACATGATAATTTGAATTAGTGGAGGAGTGGGCACTAGTGGCAAAGGGATGTTAAAGTGAGTAGTCTATGGTATCTTGCCTTATTTTAAAAAGATCTATTTTACTGTGTTTTTTGTTTGTTTTGTTTTGTTTGTTCTTTGGGATGGGGATTGAACTCAAGGTAACTTTACCACTGTGCTATGTCCCTGGTCGTTTTTCTTTTTTGAGACAGAGACAAAGTTGCTGAGTGTCTGGCTAAATTGATGAGAATGACATTGATCTAGGAATCCTGCTCAGCTTCCCAAGTAGTTGGGATTCCAGGTTTGTGTCACCACACCTGGCTTAAGATAGAATTCTTTTTTTTTTTCCTACTTTATTTTATTTTATTGGGGCATTATAGTTGTACATAATGATGGGATTTGTTGTTGTATATTTATATATACACACACTATAACAAAACAATTTGACCATTATGACTTCCCAACACTTTTTCCCTTCTTCCTCCTGCACCACCCCCACTATTGATCTCCCTTTGATTTTCATGAGCTCTCCACCCCCCACACTTTTCCTTTTCCTTTTTTCTGACTTTCACATATGAGAACATATGACCCTTGACCTTCTGAGTTTGGCTTTTTTTGTTTAACATAATACTCTCAAGTTCCATCCATTTTCCTGCAAATGACATAATTTATTTATTTATTTTTTTTAGAGAGAGTGTGAGAGAGAGAATTTTTTTTTTAATATTTATTTTTTAGTTTTCAGTGGACACAACATCTTTGTTTGTATGTGGTGCTGAGGATCGAACCCGGGCCGCACGCATGCCAGGCGAGCGTGCTACCGCTTGAGTCACATCCCCAGCCCTAATTTAATTTTTCTTTATGTCTGAATACAGCTCTACTGTGCATAAACAGCATGGTTTCTTTATCTGTTCATCTGTTGGTGATACCTAGGCTGGTTCCATTGTTTGACTATTGTGAATTGTGCTGCTGTAAACATGGGTATGCATGTATTGGTTTAGTATGACTTTCATTCTTTAGGATAAATACCGAGAAGTAGAATCTGAGTCGTGGTGGTTCCATGCCTGATTTTCTGAGGAACCTACACACTGATTTCTATAGTGGTTGTACTAATTTACAATCCCACCAACAATGTAAAAATTTAGTTAGTCCTTTTTCTCCACATCCTCTCCAGCAGTTAATGTTGTATTCCTAATGAAGGCCATTCTGACTGGGGGGAGATGAAATCTCAGTATAGTATTGATTTGCATTTCCTGATATGCTAATAATGTTGAACATCTTTTTGTATTCTTGATGGACTTTTTTTTTTTTTTTTTTGGTACCAGAGATTGAACCCAGGGGCACTTAACCACTGAGCCACATCCCTAGCCCTTTTTTTATATTTTATTAGAGACAGGGTCTCCCTGAGTTGCTTAGAGCCTTGTTAAGTTGCTGAGGCTGGCTTTAAACTCTCTGATCTTCCTGCTTCAGCCTCCCGAGTTGCTGGGCTTACAGGTGTGCTCCATGGCACCTGGCGATATTTGTATTTCTTCTTTTGAGACATGTCTGTATAATGCATTTGTCCATTTATTAATTTTTTTTTTTGTTTTTAGGTGTTTAGTGTTTTTGTTTTTTGTACTGGGAATTAAACCTGGGGCATTTAACTACTGAGCCATATCCCAGCCCTTTTTATTTTTTATTTTGAGACAGGGACTCAATATGACACTTAAGGCCTTGCTAATTTGCTGATGCTGTCCTTGAACTTAGGAACTTAAATTTGTAAGTTTCCTTGAGGCAAAAATAGATTCATAGAAGGGCCTTAAAATACTACTTCAAAATAGGGTGCAGCACAATTCCTTGTTGAATCAGTATTAGTTAAGCACCTTTTGGTGTCTGCTCTGGCCCTGCTTTTGCATATTACTGCCTTGGGAAATCTGATCTTACAGTGTTTCAGAATTCTGAGACCTATAGGGCTGATAAGAATTATAGGAACCCCGGCTGGGGTTGTTGCTCATCATTAGAGTGCTTGCCTAGCACGTTTGAGGCACTGGGTTCGATCCTCAGCACCACATAAACAAACAAACAAATAAGTAAATAAATGAATAAATAAGTAAATAAAGGTATTGTGTCCAACTACAACTAAAAATATATATGTATTATGAAAAAAATAATAATTGCATTTTTATTAGTTTTTTCCAATTTATCTCATTAGAACATTTTTCAACCTATTCTAAAAAGAACACGTATCTTTCATTAATGTCCATTGAAAAATGTATCCTGAGTGCCCCAAAAGTGAATTAAAACAATATGCACAAATCTCAAAATATGATGAGTGAACGAAGGCAGGGAAAAGAATGCATATTTTAATTTTTTTCCATTTACTAGAAAATGCATCCTAATCTATAGTGCCAGAATACATCACACTGTTTTCCTGGGGATGCAAGTATATGTAGAATTGAGGTATACAGGGATAAGAGAAAACTTGGGGAGTAAAAAAAATGTGTTTATTGTCTTATTTTTGGCGATGATTTCATGAGAGTATACATATGCCAAAACTCCATTATTCAGTTTGATTATTTGTGGTTTATTTGTGTTATGTAATTCAAGAAAATTAGTTTTCAAGATAAGAAACCCGTGATTTTTAAAAAGGAAATATAAATAACTAATCAATGCAATATAAAAGACATCTTTACTTAGGGCAAGAAAATGTCAACTATTTCACCTTTTCTCCTTTTTTCTTTGTGGTGCTGGGGATCAAACCCAGGACCTCATGCATGCGTGCTAACCAACCACTGAGTTACCTACTTCTCTACTTTTTTCCCATCTTTTTAAGTAACATCAGGGATAATTTTTGGTCTTTCCACTTTATATAATAACAAATAGAGTAGTGAGATGTGTTGATTTTCAGTGTGTTGTTTTCCATTATTCTCTCCCTTTCCCTTATGTGAAATCATTCTTGTAGGCTGATCTAAGAGTACCATCACCTGAACAAAATTACTTGTCATGGTCCCTCCTATAGTTTATTCCAGTACTGATGACTAAAAATTGTTAGGGATTTTGTAAATATTTTATATAGGATAAGATTAAAAAAATTTTTTTTCTAACTTTCCATACAGCTTTCTGAAACAAAGGTTTTCACTGCCTCATCTGTTCCAGCAGAGAATCATGTCACACCTACACAAAGGTAAGCACTTTTGCCCGTGCTTTATTATTAAAAGCAATTTTTATTTTATTTTGCTGTAGGACAAGAGTTTTCTTTTTGGGGTCTCTTTTTGATTTTCTTTTTTCATCTAAGACTAAACTTTAATTACCTCTACCTGGTGTCCTAACATCTTTGAGTATTTCCTAATGGGTTGTATTCACTGATGGATTAAAAAATAGTGATAATTTTTGTGATTTGGTAGCAGTTGTGGTAAATTGTTAAACCTATTTAATGGCTGTTTCACTTAAAAATTTTTTTTGACAGAATAAATAATTACATTCCATCCTTTCATTTCTTTTTTTTTTTTTTTAAACATTTAATTTTAGTTGTAGGTGGACACAGTACCTTTATTTTATTTTTATGTGGTGCTGAGGATCCAACCCCCTGCCTCATGCATGCTAGGCGAGTGCTCCACCTCTGAGCCACAACCACATCCTTCCTTTTTTTCTTCATGTAATCATATTTATTTATATTCCTCCAACCTAATACAAACTTCTCATTTCATATGGGTTGTTCTAGTATTTAATCTACTAGACCAAAGAAAAGGAAGGGACTTTGGGGACATCAACAACATTCTTAGAATGTGTATTGAACTAGATGTCTGATTTTTTTTCATGATAATGGAAATTATTATTTCCTCATAATTTTCATGATAAAAGACCTATGAGAATGGTTTAAAATGCAATGACCTGGAATGATGAAAACCTGGATGTATGTGACATCTTAGAAAAGAAGGCAATTTTGAACCTAACATGCCCAGTCTCATGCTAAATGAGATAATTTGTAAGACCTTATTTTCTTTTTTTTAAAGAGAGAGAGAGAGAGAGAGAGAGAGAATTTTTTAATATTTATTTTTTAGTTTTCAGCGGACACAACATCTTTGTTTGTATGTGGTGCTGAGGATCGAACCCGGGCCGCACGCATGCCCAGGCGAGCGCGCTACTGCTTGAGCCTCATCCCCAGCCCCTGTAAGACCTTATTATAGGGAAATAAAAATAGTGGAAGTTACATCTTATAATACACCATTGTATGAATTGCTCGGAATTTCTTGTTAAACGCACATAACTTCAGTATATTTGTGACTCAATAAATTTACTAGAGTCATGTTCTTTCTTTCTTTTTTTGATGGTACCAGGGATTGAACTCAGGGGTGTTCCACTACTGACCTGCAACCACAGTATCTTCCCCACTCCCACCCAACTTTTGTTTATTTTTTCGGTTCTCACAAAGCTGTTGAGACTGTCCTTGAACTTGTGATCCTTCTGCCTGAGCCTTTTGAGTAGCTTGGATTATTAATGTGTACCACCATGCCTGTCCATTTTCATTTTTGGAAAAAAATTAATTGACAATTTTTTAGTGGTTTGTTTATTTTTCAGAAGCATAATGTGCTCTTTTCCACATGTATGTCTTAACAACTTTTTTGGAATACAACTTTCTCTGGGTTTTGATAGTAATGCAAGCAATATTTATGATGGGTTATAGGTCTTAAACTATCCTTGATTTGTTTCCCAGGTATTAGGTTACCATAAATGAGAACATTATTTTGGAGTCCGATATATTTGTCTAGAAATTCAACTTGGCTATGGGTAAGGGAATGACAATGTATAAGGAATGGAAATTCGGGCTGAGAAATTTGCTGTGTATGAGTATTAAGTACTGAATTATTTTAATTAAAGATTAGTCTTAAAAGGAGAAAAAAATAGACCCCAAAATGGAAACACTTGTTCTCTAGCAAAAACAGGCATGCTGAGAATTTCAGTTTAGAATATTGATGGAAACAGTTCTTTGAAGGGATTATTAGAGCACCATTTTAGGTAATCTGGTGCATTTTTACAGGTACTACAAGATTCACCTTACCTTGTAGGTAAGTTTGGAGAAGCTATTATAGGAAGATCGCTCATTCGTGCATAGTATTATCTGAATTTTACGTCTTGATGCTTTCAGGTTTTAGGCCACGTTTCTCAGATTTGAATATCTGTCATTCTGGGGGCATTGTAGGAGTTCTAGTGGATCAAGTATTTGTTAATTTGTTGTGCCTTTATACCTGAATTTATCAGAGAGAAAATTACATATGGTTATAGGATAGAATGTAAAACTCTTATAGATATTTAATTGTAAACATGAGAATTCAAGATCTTCTACCACGGTTAAGTTCTCATTCTCTAAAAATGTTGATAAACTCTGCTATATGAAAAATTTAAAAACTCTGGTTCCAAATAATAAATAAGATAAAATATTCTAAACAAAATGAGTCAAACTTTAGAAAATTATTAAAGTTTTCATAATTGCTTCAGGTTTTCATATCAGTCAACAATGTGTCATTTATGTGAATATTGACAAGTAGTTTTTCATTATTGTTTTCTTCAAAGTCATGCCTTAGTCTCTCTGGCATTGTAATCTGTTTTTAGTGATTGGTGTCTTCCTTTTCACCATCTTCAGTCTTCAATTTCATTTTACAAAGATTCTGTTCACTTAGATGATTTCTAGTTTAAATTTATTTTATATTGATTCACTTCTCAGATTCATTAGTTGGTAAGATTTGCTTATAATTGGTTTCCTGATTTGCTTTTTGTCTGCTTAGCATTGATCTAGTATCCTTGCTCCAGAAGCCTGTCCCTCCCAGTCAAGCCTCAGATGTCAACTCCTTTGAAACCTCCCAACAGCAGGGCTTTGGCCAAGCTCTTATCTTCACAAATTCTCAACACAACAATCAGATGGCACCAGGAACTGGTAGCTCCACTGCTGCCAATTCCTATTCTCCTCACAGTCTGGTAATTTACTTTTATTTCAGTATGGGATTTTAAGGAATATACCCATTAACAGCTGTATTGTAGAGTATGACACATACCTTATAATTATGTTCTCATAATTAGTATAAAATATAATATTTCTACATTAGATCTTGGTCCAGAAAACAATGATGTGATAATTTCCAAGCACATATCTGATGTTTCCATGTGGAATTTAATTACTGAGTTTCCTGGACAAAGATAAAAATTTTTTTTCCTTTAATGATAAGTTTTCAACTAACAATCACTTTGATTGCAAGCATTCTTATTAATGATTTTTTGGTTTCTTTTTTTGGATTTTGTTATATAGTCTGCCTATACTCAATGTGTTAAAATTTTAATTTGGTTTTAAGTTTACTTAAATCCAAAGTTTGACCAGGCATAGCAGCACTTGCCTGTAATCCCAGCGACTTGGGAGGTTGAGGTGGGAGGATTGCAGGTTTGAAGCCATTCTCAGCAATTTAGTGAGTTCTTGAGAAGTTTAGTGTGATCCTGTCTCAAAATAAAAAGGGCTGGGGATATATAGTTTAGTGGTAAAGCCCCCTTGGGTTAAGTCCCATAACACTTCGCCCCCACCCCCGCAAAAAAAAATGCAAACTTTGTAAGTATTAACTTGCTATAAAATCCTGTAAAAACAATTCTTTTAACGTCTTCCGGGGTGCTCATAGTTTTTACGATTTTCTTTTTCTTTTTTTCATAAAATAAGGCTGCTTTTTAAAAAAATGTCAGAGTTTAAGGCTCTTATTTGGATGTGTTTTCATTGAAGCAATGTCATCCAGTGCTCCCTGTATAGCTTTTTTTTTTTTTTTTTTACATTCTTTTTATTTTTTTATTTTTATGTAGTGCTAAGGATCTAATTAAGTGCCTTACACAGCTCGGCAAGTGATCTACCACTGAGCCACAACCCCAGTCCCTGTGTGACTTTTGATGAGAGCTAGGCTCCCATCAGAAAGAACTCTGGACCTGTTAGTGACGAATATGAAGATAGGCTGATTGGAGTAAAGCTTAACTTAGATCCAGCATAGCTTGGGAAAGGATGTAGTTGCAGTAAGGTGAAATGAAGTCCATGTCCAACTGTAGAATGTTCAGAGCTGCCAGATGGGAGGTGGAAAAGATATGAACATAGACTTACAACTTTCATTACTGGTAATTATTTCTTTCTGTGTCATGTTTTACTTGATCAATTGTCAAGAAACTGAATTTTCACTTCCATGAATTAAGTAGTTCACTGTACCCTGATAAAATTGAGAGTTGAATATGCAGATATGTCGTTGCACTCTCTTATTTGCAGTCACACTTCACTTTGGACAGGGTACCTGCATTTGTAGTGTCATTGATATGAGTGGGGTCAGTGATTTGAAGTGAACATGGTATTTTGTCTTTTATGAGATAGGCCTAATAAACTTCCTGAATTTTGATTGAACCAACAACTCTCCTTTCTTCTGTGTCTTGCTACTTGCCTCTGTTATAATGCTGTTCTTGGTGATTTTCTGATCTCAAAGTGGTCATGAATTTATAAGTAAAACTTGAGTTTTTACAGTAACCATTCAGTAGGTTGTGTAATGACCAACAACTTGAGGACTGCAGTAATAATTGTTTGAGTAGTATTACACTAGAGCAGTGATTCTCAAAGCTATTGCTGTTTAATTATAAACATAATATAATTATATAACATATATAATTATAAACATCGGGAAAATTACACAGGACAAAATAAGTTGCAATCTGTGGGATTGGGACTTGGGTACTATGTGTTTATATGTGCATTATAAATATGTGCGTACCATTAATACACATATTTTTAAGGCTTTTTAAATTGGTTCAATGGTTAGGTGGCAATTGGAGGTCCTGTACTAAGTGTTACCTAGGGCAGCCAGCAGTTGATTGACTGAGTTCTTTGTGTTGTAAAGTGCACACAAAGTACATCAGTAAAGCTAGCTGATGTATGATTGAGGTTATATAAGAAATGAGGAAGAAGAGAGCAACATTTAGGTAGACTTCCTTGAACAGGTTTGCTTGAACTGGGTTTTGTGGGTTTGGTGGTGACATGGACAGCAAATCTGACCCAGTGACAGTAATATTTATACAACTGTTTCTGTGTTCTGTGTTTTGTTCTATATTATGAGTCATGGAATCAGATCTGTGATTGATATGTTACAGTAACCCACAACGTAGCATTTTGCTCACATTGGAGAATTTTAGATTTCCTTACAACTGGAATATTCCCTGCCATTGAATATTAATGAAAAATAATCACATCAGTTTTCTTGCAGTAACTTTGTGGGAATATGAAGTATTTATTTTTGACCATGGATTTAAAAAAATTTTTTTTGTAGTTGTAAATGGACAGAATGCCTTAATTTTATTTGTTTATTTTTATGAGGTGCTGAAGATCAACCCAGTGCCTCATGCATGCTAGGCAAGCGCTTTGCCACTGAGCTACAGCCCCAAGCTGACTGACCATGGATGGTTTTGACATGTAATTTTGTCAGAGAACATATCAGGATGACTTAAAAATGAAAAAGGCAATTGCTTTTCCCCTGTATTTTTCAGTCTTTGGCTTTTGTTCTTTTTGGATCTTGACATCTGACTTGACAGGACAGATGGAGAAGGAAAAGCATTATTTTTTTGTGAATTTACTTATGAAGAAGCTTTGTTGTTTCTGGTCTTCTAAAAAAATTTGAAATGGTTGGATGCAGTGGCACATGCCTGTAATCCCAGCTGCTTGGGAGGCTGAGGTAGGAGGATTGAAAGTTCAAAGCCAGCCTCAGCAAAAGCGAGGCACTAAGCAACTCAGGGAGATCCTGTCTCTAAATGAAATACAAACTAGGGCTGGGGATGTGGCTCAGTGGTCGAGGGCCCTGAGTTTAATCCTTGGTATGAAAAACCTCAACCAATCTTGAAATGAACCTCCAGGAAACAAGGTATTTGCTCACACTGAAATACTCATGTCTTTCCTTGTCTAATCTTTGAATATTAACATTTTAAGTTCTCTTCTATAACCCTTATTTGACCTTGAAGGGTGACCTCAGGGATTATGTCTTTTGTGACTAAACGTATTCTAATCAAAAAAGAATTCAAGGGCTGAGGGCATAGCTCCTTGGTAGAGGGCTTGGCTTACATGCACAAAGCTCTAGGTTCAATCCCCAGGACCAAGGGAAAAAAAAAAGGAATTCAGTATTTCATAGATTAAGAAAGTATTGTGTTTTGTTTGTCAAGCATGTTTATCATTTACTTTTTCTTTTCAGTTTAAAGAAGTGATGTTTAATGGTATATTTGAGGCATTACTTAAAAAAATTGTTTTGGTTGTGGTGGTGCACACCTGTAATCCTAGGTTTTCTGGAGACTGAGGCAGGAGTATAACAGATTAAGGATAGCCTGGGCAATTTAGCAAGATCCTATCTCAAAATAAAAAAGGGCTGGGGATATATCTTAGTGGTAGAGCACCTCTGGTTCAATCATCAGTGCTGGGGGATGAGAGTATTCTTCAAATCTATGGCAAATAGTTCTGTTCCTTTTAACTTCATGTCAGAATCAGGAAGGAATGTTGGATTTACTTAGTAAGTTACTGCATCTTCATCATTTTTTTCATATAGTATTTTTCTAAAGTGAGGCTTACCAGTTCCAATTTTCTAGGTTAAAGTTTTTAAAATACTTCTGAAAATTCTTGTGTTTTTAAAGCCTTGGGTAGGAATTCTGTATTGCTAAGAATTTGTTGTTTTTTTCCCTTTAAAGTCATCTGTCCTTGGCTCAGGATTTGGAGAGCTTGCTCCATCAAAAATGGCAAATATCACAAATTCCCAGATTTTGGACCATTTAAAAGCTCCAAGTTTGGGACAATTTGCCACCACTCTGAATTCACAGCAGAATAATACGAGTCCCCCCAAAACTACTACTTCATGGGACCTCAAGCCCTCGGCATCCCAGGCCTCTGTTCTCAGTCATTTTGGTAAGTATATATTTTCTGTGCTGGTTTGCCTTTTACTGCAGACATGCTAACTCATTAGCAAAGTGTGTTGACTTGTGAACTCTGTAAAGTGGATCTTGTCCAGAGGCATTTCTTCTAAGAAGAATTCTTATGGTTTTTTAATTAAATCAACAGTCTTTTTTTGTATTATAAAATACTTGCATTTATTTGTTGTTGTTGGTAGTAGTAGTAGTAATAGTCATTCATACTTGGAAGAGATGTATAAGAGCAAGGTATCATGAAAATATGAGTGTACAACACTTTGAGTAAATGCATATCTAGAATTTTCTGAGCTTAGTAGAAACACGGTGGTGACAGAAGATGGAACTTGGACAACATTTTTAATCATACCTTTTATGGGTTTGGAATACAAAGCACTTGCCTAGTGTGTGTGAAGCCCTGAGTTTAATCCCCAGCTCTGGGTGGGGTGGGGGGAATCTGTACCCTCTGAAATGTTTTCTTATTCTGACATTTTGCACGTGTCCACCTCATTTGGTCAAACTTTGCTCTCTCCTATTTGTGTGTGTATTGCATGTGTAAGTTGAATGTTTTCTAAACAGAACTCTCACAGATACTGTGATATTAAACTACCATTCCCTACTTAAACTTGCCTGCCAGTGTTTTAAGGAATAGTGGGGGATATTTTAATGATAATAGTTGGTTGTTTGGGCTTCTTTTTATTAAGTTCTAATGAGAGACATGGAAGCCCATTTCTATGGTAGATGAAATGGCTTACTATGTCTAAGTACTTGAGATGACTTCTAGGAAATCTAAGGAATCTCTTTGGGAGGTTCTATCGAGGTTGGATACATAGTTACCTCTGTCTAATGCATAAGAAAATTAGGGATTCCCTAAAGGAAAACAGGTGTTGGGCATAAACTATGTTCTTTATATAGACATTTTAGGCACAATGAGCCACTTATTTTGGTTGATGTGTTGGTACCTGTTGTTTAGCACACCCCAACGTTCCAGGTTCCAGATGCCAGCCAAGGGTCATCTTCAGGCAGACATTTATTATAGCAGTTGTAGCCTCATCTGTTCAGCTGCAGTGGTGCAGGCCTGTAATTCCAGCAGCTCAGGAGGCAGGAGGATTGCGAGTTCAAAGCCAGCCTCAGCAAAAGCGAGGTGTTAAGCAACTCAGTGAGACCCTGTCTCTAAATAAAAATACGAAATAGGGCTGCGGATGTGGCTTAGTGGTCGAGTACCCCTGAGTTCAATCCCTGGTACCCACCTCCCTCTCCCTCTAAAAAATAGAAGTGATAGAAATATTTAGATTGTAAGCATGTTATTCCCATGTTCTTTATGAAGTTTGTATTTTCCATACATGCTTCTAATCCCAGGTTCAGAAATGGATTCACCTAAACTGGATCTGCCGTTTAGTTTTTATAAATTATATTTTGTTGGAACTCAGCCAGTGTAGCCGAAGTCTGGCTATTTCCCACAAATTCAGCGTTGAGTAGTTTCTGACAGATAACTTTCAACAATTAAAATTTATATTATGTGTTCCTTTACCAAAAAAAAAAAAAAATATTCCCCATGTCTCTCCCATATGACAGAGGTGGCATTTCAGAAAAATCCACATGAACACACAAAAATTAAGGTATATAGTGTATCTGTGTATTTCGATGCAGTGTCTCTGAAGATAACCATGAAATGGTTACAGTGCTTGCCTCTAGACTAAGTATGAAAGCAGCAATGGAAGGAAGATTTGTATTCTTCATATTCATTCCTATTTAAATTTTGTAACATCACATTTATTTTTCAAAGTAAAATAAGTTTTAAAAGATACATGTAGGGCTGGAGTTGTGGCTCAGTGGTAAGAATGCTTGCCTATCACATGAGGCATTGGATTCAAATAAATAAATAAAATAAACATATTGTGTTCATCTACCAAAAAAAAAATTTTTTTTTCAAGTGGCTGGGGTGGTGCATGCCTGTAATTCTAGTTGCTTGGGAAGCTAAGGCAGGAGGATGATTTCAGTTCAGCCTTGACAACTTTGCAAGACCGTGTCTCAAAAAATAAAAAGGGATAGATCAGTAGTAAATCACACCTGGGTTTAATACTAAGGAACACACACAGAAGTTATGTATGCAACCCATAAAACACAACCAGGTGCCTGGGACGTGTGTCTATTGATCTGAATATTCAGATAGCTAAGATGGGAGGATTGTGAGTGCAAGGCCAACCTGGGCAACATGCAAAAACTGTCTCCAACCCCCCGCCCCCAAACACACAAAACAAAGCCATAAACAATAAAAACATAATTATCTGTTAGCTAATGGACACGCACATGTAGCACTTTAATAGTGTTTGTAAACATCCCTGCTCCATATTCTCTAGCATAAAATATATGTCCTCTCTGCATAAGAAATAAGGTATAAACCTACTTTGGCATTCTTTTCCAGTTACTATATTATACATTTTAATTATTTTCTCTTTCTCCCCATCCCCTCAGTGTGTGTTTCTGTCTGTCTGGCTCAAGAGATTCAACTAGAAGATGATCATAGAAACTGGTGGTGATTGACCTCTTCATAATCACTGAGGTTACAAGAGGGATTTTGAAATTCTTGTTGCAAAATAATTGTTGCTTCTTCTTCTTCTTCTTTTTTTTTCTCCCTTTACATATTTCATAGATTTCAAATCTCAGCCTGAGCCATCCCCAGTTCTTAGTCAGATGAACCAGCGACAACAGCACCAGACCCAGGCAGTTAGCATTTCTACTCCTGGTTTGGAGTCCTTTGCTTCCCAGTCAAAACACCGAGAATCAGCACCTGGGGACAGTATCTCTGCTATGAACAAACTTTTGCAGCTCCCTAACATGGCTGTTGAAAATATTGCTGTATCTGCCCACCAACCACAGCTCAAACACATTAAACTCCCTAAGCGACGGATGCCTCCAGCTTCTAAGGTGGGTATTCCATCATGAAGTCTTTGTCCCAAGGATTTGGTGGATGATAATCTAGCTCATATAGTGGGATACTAGGCTTAGAAACTGTAATGCAGTGTTTGAAAACTGAGGATTTGGTCATTACTCAGTGACTGGGATAATTTACAGGGAATAGCTTTGTACTGAGAACCAGAGTCTTTTAATTCAAACGCAGACTTGAGAATTGGCTAAAAGCACTCTATTTCTTATGTATCCTGCTATGTGCCATAGTTGGAGGCTGTGTGGATCTATGACCAGTTAATAAGTTCGTAATTTGTATGTTCCTGAAAATATGTTGTTCAGTGTACACTCACCCACTGCCTCAACTCTATTCCAACTGCTTTAAAAAGCAATGGGTGCCATTTATACTGACCATTCCCATATGACCTTTAATTTTTTGTTGCTCTTTTCCCTTCAGAGTATGTGTGTGTCTGTTGCTCTCTCTCTGGTACTGGGGCTTGAACTCAGGGGCACTTAACCACATCCCCAGCCCTTTTTATATTTTATTTAGAGACAGGGTCTCACTGAGTTGCTTAGTGCCTCACTAAGAGGCTGGCTTTGAACTAGTGATCCTCCTGCCTCAGCCTCCTGAGCTGCTGGGATTACAGGTGTATGCTACCATGCCTGGCCCTTCACTCTCTTTTTAAAGGATCATATCCTTTTTTCTTTTTTTCTGTCTCTTACTCCTTGTTTCTGCCTTTATAGCCAGGGAACCCCGTTATTTGCTTGGCCGTGTTATAAGCCTTTCAGACTTGGAGTCCCTGTCAAGATAGCTTAGCTTTGCCTTTTCAGAATCCAGCTACTGCAGTGGAGATGCCTGGTTCAGCAGATGTCACAGGACTAAATGTTCAGTTCGGAGCCCTGGAATTTGGATCAGAACCTTCTCTCTGTGAATTTGGATCAGCTCCATGCTGTGAAAATAGTAATCAGATTCCCATCAGCTTGTATTCCAAGTCTTTAAGGTATAAAACTTTCCACTTCTCTGGATTTGACCAAATTTGTTTTTTTTTTTCTGTTCAAAATAAAATAGAGCCTAAGAAATCATGTCATAGAGGTAATAATATATCCATGGTAATAAGTTTATACAGCCATCAATAATGTTTAATTCCAGAGCTTTTCTTCCTTTACCCCCAAGAGAAACTTCATACCTGTGGCAGCCACTCCCAGATTCTCTTCTCTCTGCCACCCCTTGACAACCATTAATCTGTGCAGGATTTGCCTAACTTGGGACATTTTATACATCTAAAGTCATGTAAGATGTGACCTTTTGTGTCTGTCTTCTTTAACTTAACATAAGTTGTATGTATCCTTTTTCTGGCCAAACATTTCATGGAACAAAATATAGGCCATATTTTGTTTATCAATTCATTATTTGGGGAACATTTGATTTCTTTCTTCTTTTTGGTAATAGTGACTCATGTTACTCTGGACATTCATTACAAGTTTTGGGTACTTTCTTTTTTTGGATATATAACTAGGGGTAGAGGTTTTGGGTCATATGGTAACTGTTGTATTCAGACTTCTTCCAAAGTAAGTGCATATTTTGGGGGGGATGGGTGTCTTAACTGCATCATCTTAACATTTCTTCCAGTAATCTAGGAAGGATCCAATTCCTCTACATCTTTACAATACTAATTTTCTTCCAGTGGAATATTTTATAATAGAAAGTCCTAGGGAGCTGGGGTTGTGGCTCAGCAGTAAAGCGCTTGCCTAGCACGTGCAAGGTGCTGGGTTCAGTCCTCAGCACTACATAAAAGTAAATAAATAAAATAAAGATATTGTGTCTGACTACAACTTTAAAAAACAAAAGGAAATCCCAGATTTGAGATTTTGTCAGTTTTCCATGTTCAAAGGCCCAAAATTGGTTGTTTTGAGTTACCTTGAGTTACATGGTTCTAGATAACTGATTCATTAAAATATCTTAAGGATTCCTAAAGATATCCCCTCATCTGTTAGTCTTGTTTGGGGGTGGGGAGAGGAATTGTTGAACTTTAATAGAATGTAGTAGTGTAAATTTTTAGTTGCATGTTTAATTTAGAATATAAAAGTGGCTGGGGTTGTGGCTCAGCGGTAGAAGACTCGCCTAGCATGCATGACGTCCTGGGTTCCATCCTCAGCACCATATAAAAATAAATAAAATATAGAATATATCAGTAAATTGATAATATGGTTCTGTTTAATGATACCTATGTCAAGCAACATCAATCTATGTCTGATATTTTTATTCTTTTTAGTGATCCTTTGAATACCTCTTTACCTATGACCAGTGCTGTACAGAACTCCACGTATACAACTTCAGTCATTACCTCCTCCAGTCTGACCAGCTCATCCCTCAGCTCCACTAGTCCAGTAACAACATCTTCCTCCTATGACCAGAGTTCTGTGCACAATAGGATTGTGTATCAAAGCTCTGTGAGTCCATCAGAGTCAGCACCAGGAACCGTTATAGTAAGTGGTACTTCTGGTTTCTTCTCCTTGGCAGTACTAGTGTATGATAAGTTATGCTTTGAGGACAAGATTTTGTCTTGAAATCCACCAACCTTTTGAGGAGAATCTTTATAGTTATGTTGAGTTTGGTTGTAGCAGGCATCTCTAGAGCTCATGCATGTAACTACACATACTTAGTGGAGAAAACCAAGACTATTAAGTAGTACAAGCATTGGTACTGGATGCACCTATATGGTTTGATATGTGTGCATTCTAAATGATTCTTGTACTCATCTTTGTGTTACTGATAATTTTTCATTGACTGGATATTATTCCACATTACCATAGCTATATTTATTATTTTATAATTATGTATTATCTACTCAGCTTTTGTTAATGATACTGGAATATAGATAAAGAAGTGAAAGGGCTGGGTATATAGCTCAGCTGGTAGAGTGCTTGTTTCATATGCACAAGGCACTGGGTTTAATCCTCAGCACCACAAAACAAAAAAAATTAGGGCTGGGGATGTGGCTCAAGTGGTAGCGAGCTCGCCTAGAATGCGTGATGCACTGGGATTGATTCTCAGCACCACATAAATGTGAAATAAAGATACTGTGTCCACCTAAAACTAAAGAAATAAATATTTTAAAAAAGTGAAATATCTGTCATATTTCAAAGTCTTCCTCTGCAGAGGATTGCTTTGTGCATATCTGATTATTATTGCCAGTGAGAGGTTTTCTTTTAAGTTGAATTGTACAAATATGTTCCGAGAATCTTAGAAGAAAACTTAAAAAGTAAAAGAAACAGAAACATACTAGGCCAACTCAACTGTTTTTATTCATGTATCCCATTAACAATTTAAAGTAGCTCATACTTGTAACATCTGCCTTGCAGGAAATAAATTTAATTCTATAATCTCATGTATTCCTTCCAAACCACTATGAACACTTTCTAGGTGTATCTTCAGCTCATTTCTTCTGTCTGCATTTCTTGTGAAATTAAAATCACTGTGTACATAAATGAATTTTTCAATGTGACGGCAGTATTCTATATCTTGATAAGGAATTTGGCTTATCTGTGTATGTGTTTCTTGAAACTCACCAAATGATCCTCTTAATAAATATGGTAAACAGATGTGGAGTTCTAGTTAGCGATTTGCATGCTGAAGAGTACTAGTGTATACAAATTTAATTTGAAATGCAGCAAAAGCAATTAGGAGGCTGGGTTGGGTTTGATTCTCAGCATCATATAAGTAAATAAAATAAAGATCCATCAACAACTAAGAATATATGTATATATTTAAAAAAGACAATTAGGAGATAAGATAGTGGCAAGAAAATGTTAATTATTCAATGGAAGTTATAAGATATGGGTATTTATAATTTTTTACTTTTTGAAGTTTTTTTGTTAAATATTTGGAGAAAAATCACTACACACTCAATTTGGTTTTCCTTTTATCACTTGACATCATTTTGTAAATATGACATGGTATCTTGGAATTTCACATCTATAACTCTGTGTCCAAGATTTCTAAGTGAATTTATTTATGCTTGTATTTATTTATTTTATATTCATTTACTTGGGTGTAATGGCGATTAAACTCAGGGGTGCTCTACCACTGAACTACATCCACAGTCCATCTAATTTATTTTTCTATTTTGACACGGGGTCTTGCTAAGTTGCTCAGAGTGGCCTCAGACTTGGGATCTTCCTGCTTTAGCCTCTCAAGTTGTCGCTATTACAGGAGTGTACCATCAAGTTTAAATGAGAAAACCCTTTGATACTGGGTTTCATTGAACCCAGAGGTCTTCTGTCACTGAGCTGTATCCCCAGCACTTTTAATTTTTTTTTGAGATAGAGCTCACAAAGTTGCTGAAATTGTCTTTGAACTTTGAATCCTCCTGTTCAGCCTCCTGAATTGCTGTGATTATAGATGTCACCACTTCACCTGGTGCTAAGTGAATTCAAAAAGCTAACATTTTTTTTTTATTAATAGTGCTGGTAGTGACTAATCTTGTTAGTAAAAATCTAAACCTTTGTCTCAGAGGAGCCCCTCCTACCATCTTCATGCACACTCATACAACATGCTTGCACATTTTACATTGTGTAGATTATGCCCTGAAAAATAAATTTCCAGTTTAGGAAAAAGCTTTCATAGCACTAAGAAGACAATCATAATGTGGTGGGTCTTTTTTTTTTTTTCTTGGTAGTTGTAGATGGACAGAATACTTTTATTTGTTATGTGGTGCTAAGGATAGAACCCAGTGCCTCACACGTGGTAGGCAAACGCTCTGCCACATCCCAGTCCCTGGTGATTCTTTATTATTCAGATGGCATGCATCTGAAATCTTGTTTTTTTCCTTCTTTTGAGGGGTGGGTAACCAGGAATTGAACGTAGGGCCACTTAAGCACTGAGCCATATCCCTAGCCCTTTTTATATTTTATTTAGAGATAGGGTCTCACTGAGTTGCTTAGGGCCTCAGCTTCCCGAGCTGCTGGGGAATGCACCACTGCGTCCAGTTGAAATCTTAACTGTGTTTAAGAAATCTTGTCTTAATAAAACACTCAAATGACTGAGACCATTAATAAGATGTAGAGTACCCAATGGTAATGTTATTTAAGATATTTTTTCTGAGGTTATGTTATTATTTCTCTAGTGATAACAAAATCACAGGCTAGAACAGAATCACTAGTGCAGTAGTGCCTGCCTATAATCCAAGCTACTCAGGAGACTGAGGCAGGAAGATCACAAGTTTGAGGCCAGCTTGATCAATTTAGCAAGCGCCTACCTTAAAATAAAAATTAAAAAGGCCTGGGGTAAATAAAAAGGGTTCAGTGGTAAAACACTTCTGGGTTCAAACCCCAATACCCAAAGGAAAAAACAAAATGAACAAAATCACAGGCTAGAACAGAATCTTGCAACATGTTAGCAGAGTTAGATGGAGCTTTTCTCATTTTGTCCTTTCCACCATTCCCTTTACTTGAACATTCAGAAAAAACATCTGTGTCTTCTGGCCACCTTAGATTAATCTGTCTCACCATCTTTCTGTTTCTGGAGTGTGCATGTACAGGTGTCTATACACACCACACACACACACACACACACACACACACACACACACACACACACATGCATGTACTCAGACACATCTGGAATATCCACAGATTAAGACTGTCTTCCCAGGAACCATTTGATTGACATGTTAGTGTTTCCAATCATAATATAGGCTGCATCCTTGTAATACTTAGATTCAAATAAGTTAAGCTTCTGGATTCCATGTAGCTGTTGTAGTCCAGTTCTGGCCCCTTAAATATACTGCTTTCTTTGCCTTTGGCCTTATTCTGGTTCCCACAACTTTTTTTCCTCATAGCAGATAGCCTGGTTTTTGGGAGTATGTCATTGACAAGAAGCAGCTGGCAGGTTTGTTATCAAATTACTTGTCTGATATGGAGGTTGTTCTGCAAATTATTATTTAGCCCTAACTGATAAAATTTCCTGTAACCCTGAAAGTTATTTTTTAATCTTGAGCTTTCTACTTTATATTCTCAACTGCTTACTAGATAATTCTAGTTAGATGTACCTTAGACCAGTTAAATTGAAACTTCCTTTAGCTTTTCTCCTTTTTATATCATTCTTTTTAAAAAAAAATTTTTTTGTATGTATAGATGGAGAATTCCTTTATCTTGTTTTTATTTTTATGCAGTGCTAAGGATAGAACCCAGTGCCTCACGTATGCTAGGCAAGCGCTCTGCCACTGAGCCACAGCCCCAGCCCTCTTAATATCATTTTTATTCCTTGATTCTTTGACCTGATTGGCAGGTCATTGTTGACTTGACACTGTACAATATAATTTTAACTCTCTTTTATTACTACTAACCTCACTTCATATCTTTATTTTTCTACAAGTGTGTTGAATATTGTCCTTTTTCCTGCCTGAAATATTTGGTATCACTCATAAGTAAAACCATAGGGCCAGAATGTTTTCTTTGTACGAAAGCTTGAAATTTCAGTTTCTTTAATTGGTAAAGTGATATTAAGCTTTCTATCTTTTTAAATTCGTGTCAAGGCATTTGTGTTTTCTAATTTTAAATTTGCTGCTATAAAATCTTTGTTTTTTCTTACTGTCCTTTTACCATCTGTAGGGACTATAACAATGTTGTCCTACCTCTTTTATTCCTTTTTGCAATACATGTATACATTGTATAAATATTTATTTGTATAATATTTTAATCAACACATGTATCTCTGCAAACATTCATAAATTCTTTGTGATAAAAAACTTCAAAACCTTTCTTCCAGCTTTCCCTTTTCTTGAAATTAAAAAAAAATCAGAAAATGTTAATCCATTAGTATGGAGAAGCGCTGGGTTAACTTGGTGTCTCAAGATTTTGTCTCCATTTTCTTGATCCTTGTGATGTGTAGGGCCCCTGGGTGAAAGCAGTGGGGAGTGAGGGTGCCAGAGAAAGAGCGGCTTTAGGTCTACAGGTTTTAAGTAAGTTCTCTATTTGCCTTCCCCTCACTCCTGCTCCCTCTTCTACTCATATATTAGGTGCTTGGAGTGGCTCTTTGATATGAGGTGTGTTGTCCTTTGGATTACATACTACTGGCATTACGATTTGGCTTTTCCAGTTTAGCTGAATCTGATACCATCCTTAATATGCTTTCTGGTATACAATATTTTGTTACTATTATTTTTGGCTGGGGGAGGGAGGATAACAGGGTTGAACTCAGTGGCACTCTACCACTGAGCCACATCCCCAGCCCTATTCTGTATTTTATTTAGAGACAGGGTCTCCCTGAGGTGCTTAGCAACTCGCCATTGCTGAGGCTGGCTTTGCACTTATAATCCTCCTGCCTCGGCCTCCTAAACTGCTGGGATTATAGGCATGCACCATCATGCCTGATGTTACTATCATTTTCTTTCTTTTTTTTTTTAATATTTAATTTTTAGTTTTAGGTGGACATAACCCAGTGCCTCATGCATGCTAGGCGGGTGCGCAACCACTTGAGCCACATC